CTGTGCACTGTTGCCAAAATGATTTTCCACAAACACAGAGCTGACCGTGTGATTCCCCTTCCCAGCTCCAGTGGTTTCCTGTTGTCTCGAGGATAAGATATTAAGGCTTCTATTCAGCTTTTAAATATGTTCACAACTGGGGTGTACAGGTGTCAGGGAGGCCTGGCCCCTCTGGTGTGAGGGCTGCTGAGTCCTTTGCAGGGCTACTCCTCCACCTTTGGTGTCCATCTTTCACCCAATTCTCGCTTGTGGCTCCAAGAAGCTGCAGCATGTGCAGCGGCCACACCCTGGCAAACCATTTTGGCAGATGGGTGAAACCAGGTTGAGGTAATATAACCCTTTGGTGAGTTAAGGCGATGTCTACCCCTGGCACGTGAAGACTTCTGTGAGAAGAGGCAGATGTGAACAGTTTGTTCCAACAGCCATGAAGGTGGCAGAAGCAAGTTCTGTGGCGTGCTTAGAGCTTGGCTAGATGCCAAGGTCACCCACTGCTTCCTGGGCCATTGTCAGCCAAGACTTTTGTCTTGCCAGTGGACTTCAATGACTCTTGAAGAGAGAATGAGGTTATTGACTTTGTGTAACTCTGCCTCCCTTAACTCCAATTTATGCACAAGTCAAAAGATATCACCCATACCATTTTGCCATGTTTACCTACCTCAAAGTCCTGTAGCAGTGGGCAAGTGATGAAGCAGCAGGTGCAGATACACTGGGAGCTGTAGTCACACCTCGGCACACAGGTGACCCAGGCTGTAGGGTCATTTTCTCGCTGGACTTGAAGCAACAGTGGGATTCAGCAGCCCTCTGTATATAAGCAACCTTTTTAAAAAGAGTACACTGATCACCTCCGGGTATAGGTGATATAGCTAGAAAGGGGGCCCTGAAAATTACCTGCTTCACACAACCTTGGCCTGCTTAGCTCAGCAGGGATCCCACCCTGCAGTCAAAAGACAAAAAAAGTACGAAAGCTTTTGCAAAGATGATTCCACTCACCATTGATGCATGGTCTGTGCACATGCTTATGGACAACACGAAATCCAGTAGGCCTGAAAGATGAACAGGTCTTGTTGCAAGAGAACTCAGCAGGTATCACATCCAAATAGTGAAACAAGGCTGGCAGATGAAGGCCAGCTTACTGAAGTCAGAGCTAGAGACACGTCTTTCTGGAGTGGCCACAGTGAAAGAGAGTGCCATGAAGCTGGCATAGGTTTTGCAATCAAAACTAATCTAGTTAACAAGCTTGTATGCCTCCCAAATGGAGTGAAAGAGAGGCTCGTGACAATGCCATTGCCACTTGCAGGGAAGTGCCATGTGACCATCATCAGCCCTCCCAGCATGCCAAACCCTGATAAGGTCAAAGAAAAATTTTATGAAGACCTGGAGACCCTTATCATCAATGTGCCAAAAGAGGACAAGCTTGTAATTCTGGGTGACTTTAATGCCAGAGTAGGGACAGACTACCAGACGTTGCAGGGAATCCTTGGGAGGAATGGAGTCAGAAATAGCAACAGCAGTGGTCACTTACTACTGAAGACTTGTGCATCTCATGACCTCCTCATCACCAACACTGTCTTCCAGTGACCTAAATGCAATAAAATTTCATGGCTGCACCCTCACCGTAAACATTGGCATTTAATAGACTATGGCGTTCTAAGAAGAGAGAGACAGAATATGAGAGTGATGAAGGCGATGCATGGTGTAAAGTGTTGGACTGATCATAGACTTAGCCTCTCCAAGCTAAACATTTGCATTCAAGAAAAGCAGTGGCCCCAAGGCAGGATTGACTACCAGAAGACTTAATGTCAACAGATTAGAGTGCTTCCCCATGTGTGAACAGTTTGTCCTAACTTGGAGGGAAAGCTGAGCCAACACACAGTTGGCAAGAGTGGAGCAGAAAAGGAGTGGGCCGCTTTCGGAGATTTGGTGTACAGCACTGCAGGTACTCATCTGGGCCAGAACACTCACAAACATCAAGGGTGGTTTGATGAAAGTGGTGGGGAAATTCAGAGGCCTCTAAATAAAAAACGAGAATCACAGCACTTACCAGCAGGATAAGAAGGCAGAGTTTAACTCCATCAAAAGTAAAGTGCAAGCAAGAGATGCAGGGTTCTTGGCTCAGTAAGGAGGCAGATGAAATTCAGTTTTTTGTTGATAGTATCCAAAGTGCTTTTATGAGGCCCTGAAGGCTATCTTGGACCAAAGACCTGTGATACAATCTCAGCTACTCAGTGCTGATGCAGCCGTATTGATTAGTGATCCTAAAGAGATGGGCTGAACACTTCCATAGTGTTCTCAACAGACCGTCATCGACCAATGCTTAAGTCATTGACTGTGTACCATAGGTTAAAGTCAATCCCTCTTTAGCCAAACTTCCAAGTGAAAAAGAGGTTTTGAAGGTCATTAGGCTCCTCTTGTGTGGCAAAGCACCTGGTGCTGATTTTATTCCATCTGCGATTTACAATGCAACAGGTCCACTGCTCACACAAAAGGTGATCAAAATCTTCTGGGTTATTTGGCAAGAGGAGGTTATCCCCCAGGTGTTCCAGGATGCCTTCATTGTCCATCTCTATAAAGGAAAAGAAAATAGGTTGTCCTGTGGCAATCACAGGGAGGGAGAAGTCTCTCTTTTCGTCATTACTGGCAAGGTTCTTGCCAGAGGCCTCCTTAATAGGCTGATCCTTCACCTGAAAGATGATTATCTACCCAAGAGCCAGTGTGGCTTCAGAAAGGGCTGAGGCATGGTTGATATGGTGTTTGCTGCCTAGAAACCCCAGGAGAAATGCCAGGAGCAGAACGGTGTTCGTCAATCTGACCAAGGCCTTTGATACTGTCAGTTGTGAGGGCTTGTGGAAGATCAAGGCAAAATTTGGTTATCTGGAGAAGTTCAGTATTGTATGCCAGTGTCACGATGGCATGCTTGCATTGGTGCAGTGAATGATGCTCTCATGCTTTCCCAGTCAATGGAATGAAGCAGGGCTGTGTGCTTGTTTCCATGCTTTTTAGCGTTAAGTTTTCAGTGATGTTGTCAGATGCCTTCTGTGAGGATGAAAATGGAATCAAAGTCAGCTACTGCAGTGATGGAAAATTAGTTAACTTGAAAAGGCTACAAGCCAAGACTAAAGTGGAGGGAGAGCTGGTGTATGACTTTTTGTTCACAGATGATTATGTACTCGATGCAACCTCTGAGGCTGAGATGCAACAGAGTATGGATCGATTCTCTACCACTTGTGCTAATTTTGGCCTGACAATTAACACCAAGAAAACAGAGGTTCTCCTCAAGCCAGCACCATACCATCCATACACGGAAGTATCAGTTACAGCAAATGGAGAAATATTGAATGCTGTGGGTAAGTTGACTTGCCTTGGCATTATGCTTTCCAGGGATGTACACATAGATGATGAGGTTGATGCATGCATTGCTCGAGCTAGCTCAGTGTTTGGGAGGCTCTGAAGGAACGTGTAGGAAAGAAGAGGTATCAGGCTGCCTACCAAACTGAAGTCTACAGAGCTGCTAGACTGACCTCATTGTTTTATGCCTATGAAACCTAGACAGTCTACCAGTGCCATGCCAGGAAGTGGAATCACTTCCATTTGAATTGTCTTAGGAAGATTCTGAAAATCACTTGTCAAGATAATGTACCAGACACTGAGGTCCTTTCTTGAGCTGAACTGCCAAGCATTCAAACTCTATTGTAGAGAGTGCAACTCTGATGGGCTAGCCATGTGGTTTGAATACCAAACGTATATTTGCCTAAAAGATAACTTTACAGAGAACTCCCACAAAGGTCAGAAGCAATACAGGGTCACTCTCAAGGTCTCTCTGAAGAACCCTGGAATCGATTGTGAGACATGGGAGACACTGGCACAGGACTGTCCAACATGGTGTGCCGGCATCAAAGAAGGTGCTGTGCTCTACGAGCAAAGCAGAGTTGCGTGACTGCACTGGCAGATGGGAGATGTGCAAATTTAGAGACATCTACATTCCAAATATTCATACAGACTATATGTGCCTGACCTGTGGTGGAGTGTTGTGAGCTCATATTCAGCTGCTCAGTCAAGTCAGACACACCACACCGTGGCCCCGACATAGTGATGTCCTTTGGGTCCTCTTAGAGCATGAATGTCAACAACCAACAGCCAACCAGTGTTCACAACCCGGACCTCGTCTCATTGGTCATTACTGCTCCTGCTTTCTGCAATCCAGCCAAGCTGACCTTCTCTCTGTTCCTCACACAGAGCACTCCATCTCCCACCTCCATGCCTCTGTACTGTCCATTCATCATCCCTGGAATGTACTCCCTCCTCATCTCTACCTCATTAAGTCCCTTTTCCCCTTCAAGATTCAGCTCAAGTTCCATCTTCTCCATGAAGCCTTTCCTGATAGCCCCAAGTGTTTGCTTTCTTCTTCTCGGACTCCTTTGCATTTAATTACTTGGTATTTATTTACATTTATTCTCTTCATATTCATTCTATATATACATATATATAGATATGATATATGTCTCCTTTGTTAGAGTATAAACTCCTTGAGGGTAGGGATTATTTTATCCTTTGTACTTGTACCCCTTATGCTTTATAATTCATTGGAATTTAATAAATGATTGTCGATTGACTAATTCTGACATATGGACATCTGCCGCTGACACAAATTAATTGAGTGACCCTGGGCAAATCACTCAACCTCTAAGTGTACGACTCTTAAAGCTTCTAAGTTGTAGAACTGTGGCAAGATCTGTTTTCATGGAGGGAAGAAGGGATGGTGTTCTGTCCTCCCTCCCTCTCACCTTCCTCTCTCCCTTCCACTTAGAATAATGAAGTGCCGGGTCCCAATCAAATATTCAGAGAGGCAAACAAGGAGAGTGGAGGTCAGTGGTTTGATCACTACCCAGCTGTTGGAGCTGGGGCAGGTCCACTTTTTAGAAGGACGCCTACTCTGATTATCCAGGAATAGCTGGTCTTTACACGTTGATTTTTACACTCACCGGCCTCTTTTCTTTTTCCAGCTGAGAAGTCCAATATCAAAAGGACCAATGCCTACATGTGTCCCCTCTACAAGACAAGTGAGCGGAAAGGGACCCTGTCCACCACTGGCCACTCTACCAACTTTGTCATCGCCATGATGTTAGAAACAGACCTCCCTGTCCAGCACTGGATCAAGCGAGGGGTGGCTTTGCTCTGTCAGCTGGATGACTAGGTCGGGCGAATCCGAGAACACCAGAGTAGCGTCAGAGGCCTCTGCACGTCTTCGGATTCACTGAAGAATCTGAGCCAACTTCCAAGAGTCGGTGTCTCAGTGCCCTTCCTGGGCACTTTAAAAAAATGAGACTGATATTTATAGGAACCTTTCCCCCTAGAAACCGCTGTGTTTAATCTGGACTGTCACGTGATTAGCAAGATAAACTTGCTGACCTATCACACTTTTGTGATTGTGAAAAGAACTTTAATCGTTGTTTTTAAAGTGTTACATTCCTCCTTTTGTGTAGCTGATTCCTTTGTTTATGTGTGTGAATGTGTACAAGAGAGGATCTGGGGGGTCTGGAGAAAGAGAATGACCTGCCCAAAGAAGTATTCTTCCCTTACTATTGCTGTAGACTTGGTGATGCCATTTCATGGTTCAGTCCTCTGGAGGATCCTGGACCTCACGTATGGGGGTCTTCCCTGCAGTGGTGCAGATTGGCACCCTTCCATGAGAGTCCATCCTGTACAACTCTTATCCCACTTCATTACAAGGTCCCCTCAATCTGTGGAAGACTCCCTCACTTTCCCTTCATATCATAAGATGCCAGTGGAGAACAGGGGCTGTCACCTGGTACTCTCACCATGTGTCTAGCCCAGGGATGGGGAACTTGGGACCTTTGGGCCACACATGGTCTTCTAGGTCCTCAGGTGTGGCCTTTTGACCGAGTCCAAGTTTTACAGAACAAATCCTTTTATTAAGGGGATTTGTTCTGTGAAGTTTGGATTCAGTCAAAGGGCCGCACTTGAGGACCTAGAGACCAGGCCACATGTGGCCTGGAGCCCACAGGTTCCCCACCCCTGGTCTAGCCCATTTTTTTTCCATTTTCCATTTCCTTGATTTCCTTCACTCCAGATTTCTTCATAATTACTCCTTTGTAATGTGTCGTGGCCTTCTCACATTTTATCCCTCTCAAGTCAAGTCAACAAGCATTTATTAAGCACTAGCTATGTGCCAGGTATCACTCTGAGTGCTGAGTATATAAATAAAAATGAAAAAGAAAGTTAGTTCCTGCCCTCAAGGAGCTTACATCCTAATGGAAGAAAACAATGTGTGTATGTGTGTGTGTGTGTGTGTGTGTGTATTTGGCTAGGCAGTTGGGGTAAAATGACTTGCCCAGGGTCACACAGGATGACATATTTTAAAAAGCTGAAAAGCAGGATGGGAAGGAGCTGAGAAAGTACTCATGGGAGGAGGGGAAATGGTGGACAAGTCTGGAGAGCCAGGAAAGGAGCCTGGAGAGCGAGGGGTGAGCGTGGCTGGACTGGAGGGTCTGGGAGGAACTGACCAATCCCAGCAAGGCTCTCTTCATTCTCTCCCCTGCTCCTTGGCTCAGGTAAAAAACAAAGCATTAACCGCCTATACTTGATGAGAGGCAGTGTGGTACGGTGGATGGAGAGCTGTGCTCAGAGGCAGACGAGACACAGACTGGGACCCCGTCTGAGTCAGTGTTCCAGGTAATTCTCTTACACTAGGAGCTGACCTAGGAAAGGGGCTTTCTTCACCATGGACTGCCCTGTGCCTTTCTGTCCCTGCTCTACCCAGCTGAAAATGTAGCAGTGACAGCCCACGTTTTCCTGATGCTTTTGAAGCAAGCATTCCCTGCGTCTGAAAGCCTAATTGGCCCTCACAAAGTACTCTGTTGTAAGCAGAATTACAGGATCATAAATCTGGAGCTGGGCAGGACACTCGAGGCCATCTGGCCTAATATGCTCATTTCACAGGTAAGGAAATGGGACCTAGGGTTGCTGAGGCGCCTGCCCAAGGTTGCACAGGTGGTGAGGGTCAGCAGGGTGTTTGAATTCAGGTCTTCCAACATCCAGAGCTGTTCTACCTCTATTCACTTCAGTTGACTCTCAAATAGGGAGGGGGTCTCAAATCTGGTAGGCTCCCTTGGGTAGGTGTCAGTGGGGGCTTCCACTTCAGGGGTCATCTAATGGGCACAAGGTCATATTTACCTTGGAGAACTTTGAAAGGGAATGCCTTGTCACCCATAAAGACGGGTAAATAAATCAGAAAGGATGCTTAGAAAGGAGGGGAAGACTAATGAAGTTTCACGTGTACAGCTGCTGTCCCAGCTGTCTGTAATATTAAGCAGAAACACTTCTACCTACCCTTTTGATTAGACTTTCAGTGGGAGACAAAGGAAAATGGAGATTCCTTTTCTCTGCCTTTGCAACCCTGGTCAGGTTGGAGATTGCAGAGAAAGGAAATCTTTTTCTTGGTTTGTATAAATTTATGGCATTATAAACTAGAGACCAAATTTGTAACTGAAATGTACTATCTTTACTGTAAATTTCCAAAAGAAGGTTGAAAGGTTTTTGTAACTGCTCAAAATCTTAGTGGATTTTTGGAGGCTTGCAGGTAGGAATAAGATTTCAGGTAAACAGCACATGCTTCTATTACTCTCTGCCCTTCCTGGAGGGTGATATTTGCTTTTTTTTTTTTTTTTTGGTAGAGGGAGATTTCACCAAATAGAGAATAACAGAATAGAAGTTAGTTTGAAATGATTGAACAGAATGTGATTGTTTAGGTAATTTAGTGGCTAAATCATCTAAATTAAAACAGACTATGCAAGTCAAGAAGTGAAAGGTTAGCAATTAATTAGTATTGTATGAGGAAATGTGTGCAGGAGAGATTCAGTGGAGTGTTAGACTATAGTATGATTGGGAAATAAGATGAGCTTCTTTAAGAAAAGGCTGCTAAGGTAAAAAAAAAAGTGTGGAATCAGAGCATGAGAAGGAAGGTTGATTTGGAAGTTGGTAGGCTTTAATCAAAGTTAAGGGGTTGGGTAGATAGGGACACAAGAGAGAAGGTTTAAGCTAGTAGAGATAAAAGGGGAGAGGACAGAACCTTAAAGAAAGTTGAAGTCCTTTTGCACTGACCACATGGAGGGTTTGAAAGAAAGGATTTGAAGTCTGGATTTGAAGTTTGAGAAAGCTTTTTTTTCTCATTGATATAAGACGGATATGAGAAACTTTTTAGAGGAGTACCTGTTAGCAGTTTCAGACAGATAGTATCTATCAAGTTATGACATTTATCAAATGGAAATCATAGAAATAAAATTCAAGCGTGGAAGTACTTGAGAAGGATACGCTTTGGAGAACCTTAGAGCGTCATGGGCTGTGAAAGAAGGGGATGAATCTTTGAAAGTGACCTCATGTGAAGCAGTGGGTCTGTAATGAGGTTTTCACTGTTAGCATTTGTGATTGTAAGTACAGATTTGATTTGGTTGAAATTTGTCCTGAAACTAAATTATTATGTGGTTTCATTTAAAGTGAGATGTGCTCTTCTATTAGAATAATTGTGGTAAATAAGAACTTAATGCAAAATACATTTGATATTTAGCATTAAGGCAATATGCTTGAAAACTACATGAATCAAGGAAACCTGAATTCCATAGAAACTTACCGCTTTGTGTGACCCCACGCAAGTCAGTCCACTTCTGTTTGCTTCGTTTTCTCAACTGTAAAATGGGATGATAACAACACCTTCCTCCTAGGGTTGTTGTGAGGCTCAAATGACAAAAATTGCAAAGTACTTGGCACATGGTGAGTGCTATACAAATGTTAGCTATTACTAGTTTTACTAAGTGTAATTACTCAATACTGGTTTTTGAATGCAATTAATATAGAATGCCAAATTGATAGAAAAATGAGGTGATTTTCTATATAAGAGCATTTGAAAGTGCATTCAACTGAATTGATATTATTTGACAAAAAATTTTGTGTTATATTTTAAAGATAATAATGCTTATGTTATTGTTAGACTTCTAATTTTTCTTGTATTGTGAATTTTGTGAAACCATCGTACAAGAAATGCTGTTAACTTGAAAATAGTGCCCAGAGGGTGACATTTGTATCTTTAGAAAATTAACTTCTCTTTTAATCTGGATGCTGTTAGATTATGAATTGAGCTGTTAAAGAATGTGGTCATAATGTTGGAAAACTATTAAGTATTTAATTGAGTCTATTTTGCTTCGCAATGGATAATCACTTACTGTTGGAAAAGAAATGTAGCACAGACTTTGGAAATCAGCCTTGTCTGTGAGGTTCCTTGGGATCTTTTTGGTTGGCATTGTCTTGGGAAGCCCTGAAGTAATAGACCTCTTTCAGCCAAAGTGGGGGACTTAAATAGTAAAGAGTAAGTTTTGTCTGATAGATTGTTTGGCCATTCTGTGGGCTGGAAGATTCCAGTCTGTAGCAAAAGTCATGAGAACTTCAAATGTGATTAATCAGTTCATTAGGAAGTCCAAGGGTGCCCAATTATTTGGGTCCAAGATTTTCCTCATGCTCAGGGACTCCTCCCTTTGGCTACTTTTATACTTTTAGGAGGGCATGAAACATAGAAGGAGGTGTTACAATTAATTGACTGATTAGTTAATTCCAGAAGTGGGGAAATCTTATGATTGGCTAAGGGAAATGTCCATCAATTATAACCACTTTGTCAACAGGCCTTTTACAGGTCATGAGACCTTCCACAGGTCATCAACTCTCGGTCATCCCAGTAGGGTCTTTCCAAAGTCATAAGACCCTTTCAACAACATCTAAGGGCCTTCCACAAGTCAGAAGAACCTAGTGTTTGATAAACAGTATCTTAGGGTCCAAGGAAGTTATGAATTTGAATCACAGGTTACTAGAGAGTTGGGTGTTTGTGATTCATAGGAGTGAGGAGGCAAACGAACCTTATTATAGCACATTACAGAATGTGGGGGAGCAGAGTAATGCAGAAATTACATTCTTTTTACATTTCTAACCAATAATATGAATCTAGCTGATAAATATAATCATCAATAAATTGCAGATTTATAGATTTATATGTAGATAAATGAATGTAGAATTCATAATTCCTATCCTAACAGTATTAACATACATAACTAACTTAAACTGAAAATGGTTCTGCTTAATTCCCCAAAACAATCGCTGATATCCATCGAATCACAATAAACTGAATAAATACTGATTAATCTGAGTAGGGGAATATCAAGATGGTTATCAATGTCACATCAATATTTGACAGCTTGGACTCAGGCTGAGATAAGCTGTTTAAATGGCCATTGAGAGTGGGTGACCAGAAACAAGGAGACTTGATATTATTTAATATTGATGATCATTACTATATTGCATTTGGCTTTAATGTTTCATGGTGTTTATGGTTGCCTGACAGAAGGCTATGCTCAGATTCCTTTTATTTATTGTTTGGGGATTAAGGCCATTCCTCCTGCAACTCTTTGGTCAACTACAAGTCTTCTGTCTATATTAACCTCGCCTGACCCAAACTTGACTTGTGGAAGAATAATGTTAACGGACATCCCTCAGGTAGAAGCCAAAGGGAAGTCTGAGCTCCCCAAATGACTTAGTTATTCCCCTAGCTAACTGGGTAAAGATTTCCTTGACCATAGTTTTCTTGGTTAGTTTAGTGATACATAAATCTCCTCCCTCAGTCAGTCCATTGTGAACTCTCTAAGTGTAGTTTAATCTGTAACCTGACTTAGTTTACCTACAGAGTCTGTTTCCCAAGGTTTGCCTCCTTAAGGCATGTATGAGATTATGGCTATGCTTAACTAAGATTCTTCTACTTTTATGACGTTGAAGGAATCATGGAATTAAGATTTCTGTGATACTCATGGCCACACTGTACCTGTTTCCTGGTGTCAATTTAAGTTCCCGCTCCTGTAACCCCTGAAATATACTCAAATTGATCCCTCTGACTATGAGACGTTGGGAAGAGTTTTTCTCTAATCTGACTCCTACTCCTCCTTAAAGGAATTCTATCAATCTCTAGCCAGATGAGCTGACTCCACTGAGTCAAGTTATTTAATGAACTCCCTTTGAAATCGTAACCCAGATTTCTGCTTCTGTTATTATGCTTTAGCTTGTATGAGAATGCTGGGCTTTAAGCTTCAAAAGAAGGGATTATGGAGAAAATATTATCCTTTATTAGTATTGTTGAACTTAGCTTTATGTGGCTAGAAAATTGTCTAACCCAAAAGCTTGCTGTAGAGGTCAGACTGACCAGAGAGATGCTCCAGGGAAGCCAGGATGGCTACAGGAATGTACGGGGTGTTCCGGGTGGGGGTGAGCATCTCTGGTGGGAGGGCTGCTGAGCCCTTTTCTGGGATGCTCATCCATTGGTGTCCATCTGGCACTCAGCTCTCACCTCTTCAAGAAGCTGTAGCATGTGCAGCGGCCACACCCTGATAAAACCATCTTGTCAGAAGGACTAAGCCAGGTTGAAGGTAACTGATGGGTCTCAAACCCATCTGTGACTTAGGTGGACGTCTACCCCAAGCGCATGAAGTCTTCCCTTGACAAAATGGGTAGGTGAGAACTATTTGTTCCAACAGCCAAGGAGGCAGCTGAAGCAGGCACTGTGGAGCACTTAGAGCTTGGTCAGACATCGGAGACCCCAAGGTCATCCACTGTATCCCAGGCCATCACTAGTCAGGATGACTTTTGTCTTGCCACTGGACTTTGATGACTCAGGAAGAGAGAGTGAGGCTGGTGACTTTGTGCAACTCAGCCTCACTTAAATCCAATTCAGGTGCAAGTCATTGGTCCTCTCTGAAAACAAGGGTGAATAATGACAACAGACCCCACCCGAAGCTTGTGTGTTGGGTTTTCCAAATTAGATTGACTTACCTGCTGATTAACATCTCAAACTGCCCTTCCCTTGGAGACTCTAGACAAGGTCAGGCAGGCAAATGTCCTTATCCCCTTTATTGCATTATATGCATTATATATAATAATTATATATAATGTATACAATGTATCTATATACTGTGTTATATATCATAATGAATCATATATACACATATAATACATACATACATATATATGTATATAACAAAGACTCATGGAAGGAGTCATTCCTTTTCTCTAGCTCTCTGAAACTCTTTTGGGGTTGTTCTCATGAATGATACTCTATACCAAAGAATCTGCTACCTGGAGACATGAAGGATGCATGCAAAGATGATGGTAAAGCTAGTTTACAATTATGGCTCCTAGCTGGCTTCCGAATTCCTTACTTTCTTTCACAGCCATGAGAGGTGCTGTGTGGAAATGGCATTGTTTTTAATCATTAATGTTCTCATCATCTGGTATAACCTCACAATGCTGAGGTCTTACTATTTTTTTAACCAATGAATATTTTTGAGCCCAGATTATATTTAAATATTCTGTTTATCTTAAACTCGTGTTCCCTAGGACACCTTAAGGTCAGCACTGTGGTCCAAATAAAGCAGCTGCCCAATGCATTCTGGACTTTCAGAATGGCTAACTGATAACCCAGGTCAAACCTAATTTTGTTGCCTTTATCACTGACATTGACAATTTTGGGTTGGCTTAGGATATGGGAATAGAAGTGAAAGGAGAGTCATAGAGGAACTGGGCCGAGGAGCCGCTCCTGTCCTGTAGGGACTTCCATTTTTACCTCCCCTTGGCCAGCAAAGTCCAAGACGTTAAATCTTTTCCATTTGTCTTTTGTGGCTCTACCCGTGAAGCTTCTGTTTCCAAACATAGCCAGTCCACATGTGAAAAGCCAGTCTATGCCAGGCTGTCTTATGATTGGGTATTTATAGTAAGGCTATTCACAGCACTGTAGGAGAGGGAAGATTACTTGAGTGTCAATGAAAATCTTCAGGCTGGTTACGCTCTTAAAGTTTCCAACTTCAGTTCTGTTTTAACGGATGCAAGAAAAGGTAAAAACACTGAAGCTTGAGTTTGTAGCGAGTTCTTTTTCTAAGCAGAGTGGAAACAAGGCAGGATTGCCTGGAACATCTCTGATTTGGACAGGCGAGGCTGATTTTTACGCTCTCATGAAAGTGTACTTGTTCGTATGCTGGTTTATTTAAAAAATGTATTTACTAATGGAATATACAAGTTCTTCTCAACATGCTGGGCGCAGGAAATGCATCCTGGGAGAGGATGCTACAGGCACTGAGAGAAATTTGTGCTATTCCTCATTATTGGGTTTAAATGCTTTCAGTGTCTTACTAATACGTGCTTGTCCCCTTCCTTCCCCATCCCCCCTTCTCAAGAGGTTGCCTGGTATAGAAGAGAGAGGCAGGAAGACCTAGGTTCGACTCCTCACTTTGACGTATACTAACCGCGTGGCACTGGACAAGTCACTTAACTTTTGGGTGCCCTCAGGCAGCTCTACTAAGACTAAAGACTACAGATGAGTGACTGATATGCATTGGTGGAGGGAATGTCCTCACAGGGAGTGGGAGACCATCCCAAAGCAATCTCAGCCTGGATTAAAACTACTGCCATTCGTTACTGAATTTTCTTTTTTCTGCTTGCTGTACTACAGGAAAGAGAAGGAATGGAAAAGTGAATAAGGTTCCCAGCCCAGTTCTTGCTGAAAAAACAAAACAAAACGAAACATTGTTATATATCCTGAATTTTTAAGAGACTATGCTTGAGTCCAATCCTGGTTCCATAGGCAGAAGGATTTCCTAGTGACTCTAATAGAAAGGAACAATAACTTTTTGTAACTGTGTAAGTACAAGGGATATACATTTATTTATGTAATAAAGATTCAGGCAAACTCTAGGCAAATAACTTATTGATGATCAGAGCTGTCCAAAAGTGGAAGGGGTGTGTCTCAGGAGGTAGTAGGCATCCTGTCACTGGAGGTCATCCGAGCAGAAGCTGTATGACCACTAGTCTGGGATGTTATAAAGGGGATTCTTCTTCAGGTATTGCATGGACCAGATGACCACTGAGATCTTTTCTAGCTCTGACAGTCTATGATTCTCCAAATGATCATGTTCATTTAATGACCATTAAATGCCCCCCAGTTCTCTGCATCATTTCAGATGATTTAAAACTAAGAAATAACCAATTCAGAAAACAATGTAAAGCTCTCAGAATCTGGTCTTTTTAAATGAAGTTTAAAAAATATATTTTTCCCCCCAGCATTTTCTTCAGTGATCAGTTCTACCCCTGTGGCAATTTTCTTAAATGCAGCTGTAATTTGGAGTTTACAACTGAGGACAAACAACAACGACAATAATTTAAGCATTGCTTAGATTGTGGTTTAAAGCAACACACACACGCATGAATAACTACAGCACCGATGAAGACTTGGACGAAGACATTGCCACCCAATTTGTCATTCAGCAGAGTTTACAGGATACGCACAAGCCAGAGACCGTACAGCATGCAGAGGACAACGACAGGTAATGGCGTCCTCATTGTAGATACGTTGAATGTGTTATTTATGACAATACTTGTGATAGCTCATACCTATATAGCACTATGAAGCCAGGAAGATCAGGGCAAAAGTCCCTTCTCTGATACATAGTAGCTATAGGACCCTAGGCAAGTTACACAATGTCTCGGTACTCAAGGAAACCCTCTAAGACAGGATTTCTTAATCTTTTTTTGTGTCCTGGACCCCTTGGGAAGTTTAGTAAAATGTAAGGACCCCTTCTCAGAATCATGTTTTAAAATGCATAAAATAAAATGCACAGGATTAGTCAATTAGTAAGCACCTGGTATGTGTTAGGCACTGTGATCACTTTGTAATTACAAAAGAAACTAATCCTATTGAAAAACAGTTATCAAAATATTTTTAAAAAATTTTACAGACTCCAGGTTAAGAACCCCTGCTCTGAGACAATAAATTGTAGTGCAGATGATAACAGGCATTGGTGGAGGGAGTTATTTCACTTACGAGTTCCTTAAACTAGTGAAAGCTCAGGGCTATCCTCATCCTTTATCACATAACAAAACAGCTTCTTCAAGTAACCCCCTAAGAATAGGTAATACCTCTATGATTACTCCTCCTTCACAGATTAAAAAAAGAAAAACTCAGAGAGGTTAAGTGACTTGCCCAGGGTCACATAGCCAGTGTGTGTCAGAGCTAAGACAGACCTTTTGGTTTCGCATATATTGCCGTCCTTCCCTGACCCCTCACTGCACCATCCACTTGGTAGCTTCTGACTTGTGTTTTTCATTCATTAGTCTTGTTTAACACCATTGACACCATAGATGCAAATGGTCACTACGCACCAGTGCGTGCATTTTAGTTTCTCCTACAGTGTGTGGTTTGCTCCGTGCCTTATTGTGTTAGTTACTAGGAATTGCTTAGTCCTAGATTTCTTTCCTAGATCCCTAATGTCTTCATTTCTTCTCATTTGATGTTAAAAAAAAAACCTATTTTCACCCCCATCACTGGAGTGGCAATTTCTTTCTTTTCTTTATTTTCCTTTTAGTCTCCATTCTTTGTTGAGCCCAGAATATAAGAAGATTGTTGAAGCAATCAAGGCAGTTAAGTACCCTCCTTATTCTACCCTCAAGGGTTTATGGTAAGATATGATTATAATAATTTAAAGAACTTTTTTTCCCTTTGGGACAACGGAAGCTACTTCCCCAGGCAAGATGGTAGGAAGGAGGATAAATTAACCGTCCAGGCAATAGAACGCTTCAAAAGCATTAGGCAAACATGGGCTGTTCTTGGAACTGAAAGGTACCTTAGAGATAATCTAGTCCAATCCTTTCATTTTGCAGATGAAGAAACAGGGCTCTGAGAGGATGTGACTTGCTTGAGGTCACAGAGGTAGTAAGTGGTAGATCCAGTCAGGCAATAAGCATTTATTAAGCACCTGCTATATGCCAGGCACTGTGCTAAGGCAAAAGAAAGACTTTGAACCCAAGTCATTTGACTCCAAAGCCAAATTTCCACCCCGTTTATTGGACCTTCCACAGGCAACTGATACCCAAACTCCATTTTTCCACCTCATGTGCTTTGTGCATGTGAGGCAATTGGCTAACTCGGTGAACAGTCATTCAACAAACCCATTCACCCAACATATCAGCTACTTGCTGTGTACAAGGCACCGTGGGGGAGGCTAAGTCAAACAAAATGCCGTTCAGGGAGTTTGCTCCAGTAGGCGGAATGAGATTGGCACAGATAGATGGGTCTAACAGGACCCAAATGGGCAGCAAGGGTTTATAGGCTGAGTCTGCTCAGGGGAGGGGGCGGGAGTCATGGCCCTGCATGCCAAAGGTGAGCTTGTCCTCTACAGGTGAGGAAGATGCTCTATCAAAGCTGTCTGTGCACTTTTCGGCATTTGAGGAGACGGATCAGACGGGCTGGCTCCCTTTGCACCATGCGGCGACCCAATTAAACAAACACATCTTGGAACTCACTCTGAAAGGTAGCTGCTTCCCTTGGCTCCTCCCTCCCTGCTCCTAGGGAGCCCCTCCATTACTTAACCTCTTTTATCCAATGGGGTCTTTCAGGTTCACCACCCAGACTATGGGAGCAAACTACTCGGAAAGGTGAGACTCCACTCTTCTTGGCAGTAGACAAATGCCTTGTGGAAAACACCAACTTTCTTCTTCTCAATGACTGTGACTGCAATGCTCAGAATGAAGAAGGCCATTCTCCTTTACTTATGGGTAAATGAAAACCTCCCTTCCTTAATCAAGGGTGGCCCAACTCAAAGGCTCCACAGAGGTGAATAGAGAATTGTGGTGAAAATTGTTGATGTTGGTGAAGGATTTTTGACAGATTTTAGAAGAGGACCTTTGGGGAATAGAAACAAGCCCCTACTGGCTACCTGAGCATCAAAGCACAGGTGCTGGGCCAAACCCTCAGAGCTGGTCTTTCCTTATTGTCCTGGGTGCGAGGCTCTTCCTTCTGTCACTCTGGTCCCTTGTAGGCTTTCCCCTGCTGCTAACACCTTCCCTCTGACATTACCTCCCCTTTACATTATCCATAACTAGTTGTTTGCATGTTGTCTCTCCAATTAGATTGTAAGCTCCTTGAGGGCAGGAATTGGCTGGCACAGAGCAGGTGCTTAATAAATGCTTGTTGACTGACTGACAAGGTGCCCTGTCCCTACAGATCTATGCCCTCCCTGACATCCTCCTCACTCCCACACACAACAGCTCCCCATTACTAGCATATTCCTAATACCTCATTTTGTGTCCCCTATTAATTAGTGAGTATTTATTAAGCAATTACTATGGGTGAAGTTCCTGTCCTCAAGGACCTTATTTTCTGTCAGAAAACCAGAATGTACAATATTATTTAACAAATACTCTGAATCTTTGAAAGGGTCATGTTGCTCACTGGGGTTGACTTTGTCTCCCTTTGGCATTGATTGTAACTCCTCCATGGTTGCCACTAGCTGAAGAGAGCTGTGCTCAGTCAATACTATACATATGGCGGAGGGAGAGAGGGTGGGAGGCTTACCTGGGGTGTGGCTATCAGGAGAAGAGGTGTATCCAGTTACACAAGAGGCATACCCCCGGTATGAGGCCAAGTCTGCCTGGGCAGGGGAGGAATGTCAGGGCAGTATTATCTTTGCCCTCTAAATTTCTAAGCTGCAGGGTAGGGGAGGGGGAGCAAGCCTTGAGTTGAAGCTGCCGCTGTCAGGAGGTAGCCTGGTGGACAGAGGAGGAAAGGGGGGATAAGAAAGGCATTCCCAGATGGTGCTGTCAGTGTCAGCTAAATTTTCTATCCTTGGACACAGCCCTGGTGGCCCTACCTTAGTTAAAGCTCTTGAACTTGGGCAACAACCTTCTAGAGAGCAGCGTCTCCAAATTTGGCTCAGTCGGTCCTTGGATGGGACACACGTCCAATACCTGGACCATATTTGGTGTCTTACCAGCTCAGAAGGACCTTCTAGAGCTTATACTTCACTGTTTGGCCCTCAAGGACTATTGTCTCCACACATCAAAGAAGAACTTGAGTGGAATTGTTGGGGAGGGGGGTAGTAGGCATTTGTATGGGACCTACTATGCACCAGGCACTGGGTTAAAAGCTTTCTATAAATATCATCTCCTTTGATCATCTCTTTGTGAATTATTATTCCCATTTTACAGATGAGGAAACTGAGACAGAGGTTAAATGACTTGTCCAGAGTCACACAGCTAGTAAGTGTCTGAGGGCAGATTTGAACTTAGGTGTTCCTGCCTATAGGCCTGATGCTCTATCCACCATGCCACTAGCTACCTCTGAATATCTGGCAAAGAGAATTTTGCAAAGGAGTGACTTGGTTTTGTATTCGATTTTCAAAATAGGGCAAGCCACCATCAGACCTGAAGGGGGTGAAGGTTGTTTGCCCTCCTAGCCTTTAGCTCCTGTTGGGAAAGGATGACTGTGTCTTTCTCCCATGCTCTCCTAGCTGTCAAGCACCATTCCTATGACATGGCTTCCTTGCTGATCACCTTTGGCGCCAAAGTGAATTTGCGCTGTGCTAACAAGAGGACGGCATTGCATGAGGCTGCCCGGCTGGGCAGGAAGGACATGGTGGACCTCATGCTGCGTTCGGGGGCTGATCCCGACCCGCAGAGCACCTATGGATTCACGCCACTCGCTCTCGCTGCCCAAGGTGGGCACACGGAAGTGATGGAACTCTTACTACAAAAGGGTAAGCAATTCCGGGTGTGGTGATTCCCTCCTCTGATGCCTATCTCCTAGACAGTCCCCTGAGGCCTATAATAATAAAATGATTTTCCCAGCCAGGGTCACCTAGTTAGGAGGCTTGAGAAGTGCGCCTTGAACCTCCCACATAGATTTGGAGCTGGAAGGAAGTTAGAAGGAACATTAAGTCTAACCTCCTCGTTTTGCAGATGAGGAAACTGAGGCACATAGTGATTGAGTGATTTGCCCACAGTGACACAGCCAGTGTGCCTTCCTGCTTGCTAGCTCAGCACCGTATTCATTCTGCCCCAGCATCTCCTAATTATCACTACCTGAGCTACAATCTCTTAGGCTAGGGGATGGGAAGCTTCTTGAGGGCAGGGACCGTCTCCCTTTTGTATTTCTATTCTCGGTGCTTAGAAAACTGGCTTGCAGATTCCGGTAGGTGCTTCATAAATACCTGTTGATTGATTAACATGCCCATTTAAAGATGGAGCAGCTAAGACTTATCCATGGTCATACAATTAGCCAATACTGGAGGAAAGGCCCTTAAAAAATGATGGAAGAGAATTATTTGTGTGCACATAGTAGGTGCCTTATATCATGGCGTGAATGCTGGAATAAAAGAAAATCCTGGTGTCTAACTGAGGTTAGAGTCTCCTACTTGGTACGCCCTTTTGTTGCTTGGGGTTTTCACTGAGATTCTGCCCGTACTTGCTCATGTCCCAGCCTAGCATGTCTTTCTCCATTCTTTCTCCTTATTCAAATCCTACTCATCTGTCTAAGAACAGGTCATGGAACAACAGAATTTGAGACCTAAGGTCCCTCTCATTCAAGTGATTTGCTGGTTTTTAGATCCGAAAGAGCCTTAGAAATCATTGACACCCAACTGCCAATTTTACAGATGAGGAAACTGAGGCTTAACTGTTGAGGTTAAGTGAGTCAAGGTCACACAGTGGGAGAGATGGGATTTGAACCCAGATCTTTTGAAAACACAGTGGTCTTTTCACAATATCACTTGCCAGTTTCATTATCTCGTGGAGAAGGGAGCTGAGGCCTAATTCATTTCAAATTAAATCCAACAGATGTTGGGTGCCCACTATATGCATGGCTCAGAGAGGGTGTGATAAATTTATTTAGATTTAATTTATTTAATTTAATTTATTTGTGATTTAATCAGAGAGTCTAGGCTAAAATCTCATCTTTAAAGGGACCAAGTCACCTTATCTCTATGGGCCTCCGTTTCCTTACATATAATATGGTAGGATTGGGTTAGATCAGGGGTTCTTAAACGTTCTTGTGTAATGGACCCCTTGGGCAGTCTGTTGAAGTCCTGGGACCCTTTCTCAGAATAATGTTTGTAAATGCACAAAATAACCTACCTACCATCACAGTGATAGCGAACTAAAGTCACCGAAATATTTTCTAAGACAAGTCGATGGTCCTCAGGTTAAGGGCTCCTGGGTAAGATGACGCTTCTGGTCCCTTGTGCTCCCACTGACACCCAGTACTTAGAGGCGGAGAAAATGGGACTGGAACCCAGGTTCTGCCCAGTCCTAGATCAGCGCTTTTCAAATGAGATATTTGTAAAGTGCTTAGCACATAGTCGGCACTTAACAAATGCTTGTTTCCTCTCCCCTACTCCATTTTTTAGGGTGCCTTCCCCTGTCCCTAAATTGCATAATCACATATTCCTGGGGTTGGAAGGGTCGATAGAGGGCTGGGGCACAAGGGGAAGACTGCGTGGTTTGGAGTCAGGGGACCTGGGTTCATTTCTATTCCCTGCGCTACTTTGGGCAGGTCACTTCCTCTCGCTAGGCCTCGGTTTCCTCCTCTGTAAAAATATGATCTCTTAGGGAAGTAAGGACCATTCTAGTCTGAAATCCATGAACTTATAACCTCAGAGGGTTATAAGTCCAACCCATACCTAGACCTAAATTCCTTCTACAACCTACTGGACAAGCAAGTGGTGATCCTCTGCTCAAAGACCTCCATTGTCTCCCTACATAGCCCACTTTGGGCCAACTCTCATTCTTGGGGAGTTCCTCCTTCCTTCAAATCTAAATGGGCCTCTCTTAATCTTCCACTCACTGCTCCTTTTCTGTCCTTTGGTGCCATGTAGAAGAAGCCTTCTAAGCCCTCCTGACCCACCAGCCCATACCCAGCTCACCATCCTCTGAAGCCAGAAATTCTGGTTGCCCCTTCCATTCATTTGGCATTCAGCCCTTGTTCATGGTCCTGCCTTTTCTTTCCAACCAGACTGTAAGCTGACTGAGGGCAGGGATCCCTTTTGCATTCCCAAAATTCCAAAATCAATGCAACCAAAATTAAAAGGAAAGCAGGAAAGTAGGAACAAAATTTTATAGCCAGATAAAGGCCTCATTTCTCAAATATAGAGAACTGAACCAAATTTATAAAAATAAGAGCTATATTTCCCAATTGATAAATGGCCAAAGATAAGAAAGGCAGTTTTCAGAAGTAGACATCAAAGTTATCAATAATCACATAAAAATGCTCTAAATCACTATTGATTAGAGAAATATAAATTAAAACAACTCTAAGGTTCTACCTCACACCTATCGGGTTGGCTAAAATGACAGAAAAGGAGAATGACAAATGCTGGAGGGGATATGGAAAAGCAAGGATAATAATGCACTCTTAGTGGAGTTGTGAACTGGTCCAACAATTCTGGAGGACAATTTAGAACTATGCCCAAAGGGCTATAAATCTGCAGGCATACCCTTTGACCCAGCAATACCACTACTAGGTCTGTATCCCAAAGAGAGCAAAGAAAAAAGGAAAAGGACCTATTTGTCCAAAAATATTTATAGCAGCCCTTTTGTAGTGGCAAAGAATTGGATATTGAAGGGATGCCCATCAATTGAGGAATGGCAGAACAAGTTGTAGAATAAGATTGTGATGGAATGCTATTGTGCTGTAAGAAATAATGGCTTCAGAAAAACCTGGGAAGAATGATATGAACTGATGCAAAGTGAAGTGAGCAGAACTAGGAGAACACTGTACACGGTAACAGCAGTATTGTAAAGATGATCAACTGTGAAAGAGTTAGCTTCTCTGATCAAGACAATGATCCAAGACAATTCCAAAGGACCCATAATGAAAAATGCTATACATCTCCAGAAGGAGAATTGATGAACTCTGAGTGCAAATTGAAGTATACCTTTTAAAAAAGCTTTCTTTATGTTTCTTGCTTTCCATTAATTTATTTTCTGTTCATTCATTTATTTGTTTTTGTGCCATGGCAAGTACGGAAATGTTTTGCATGACTTCACTTATAGAATAGGTAGCATGTTGCTTGCCTTCTCAATGGGTAATTGAGGCAGGAGGAAAGAGAGAATTTGGAACTCAAAATTTTAAAAAAGAAATGAATGTACTCCTAGAATTTCATAGTGTCTATACGTGGTAGATGTTCAATCATAATGAAGATAAATAATTGGGGGGGGGGGTGCTGCAAAAAGACTCTTGGGGCTCTGCATCAAAAAACTCCAAACAAACTTTATTTGTCCTCCCAGGGGCCAATGTTCTCTCACAGGCTTCAGATGCTTCATCCATTTTGCTTGAGGCTGCTGCTGGAGGAAATCCTGACTCTCTGACTCTCCTGCTGGAATATGGAGCCGATGCCAACGTCCCCAAGAGTTCAGGCCACTTGCCTATTCATGTAGCAGCTGATCGAGGCCATTTGTTGTAAGTCCAAATGTTATTAGAATCATTTAAAGTCCAAAGAGTGTGCTTTGCAACGATGGCTTCCAGTTCAATTCAGTTTGATGCAATTCAGTTTGATTTGATTCAATTACATTAGGTCCAGTTCAATTCCACAAACATTTATTAAGGGCCTATTATGTGCCAGGTTCCAGAAATTAAAAAAAAAACAAAACAGCCAACACTATTCTTGCCCTGCAGGAGCCTACATTCTATTAGGGAAAAAGCAGCATGAACCCAGATAAGTTAAAACCAAAATAATGTGTGTGACCCAAAAGTCTGGGTTTAGTTTGAAGTTCTAATAACTTTGAAAGCATAAATGCCACAAACTTAGCAAAAACAACCCGCAAAAGGGTAATTACTTAATTTTAAAAAGCATTGCTTGTTTCTTATTAAAATTCAACATAGGCACCATCTGGGGCTATACGTTGCTCTAGTCAATTTTTGAACTTTGGTGTTGACTGAAAGGATTGCATTTGTAGCCACAGGCTTTCTTCCCTTCATGAAATTCTCACCTAGACTCTCTGAGAAGGAAGAAATGCTGAGGCGGTAGAATTGACAAGATTTGGCATCTGATTGGATTTAGGGAGGGGTCAGTGAAGAGTTGAGGACTTGGGTGTCTAGGAAAGAGCTAGATCTCAGTAATCTTTGTAAGAATTCCACAGAGGGAGAAAAGGACTTTTAATAATCCAGAACTGTGCTTTACCATAAGGCCACATGGGAACTGCAAGCATGAGCCCACTTTTCCCTGGACTCTGTATATTCTTGTGAGACAGAGTTTCCTAGATTTTTGGGGGAGAATGTTTTGTACCAACTCTACCACCTTAGTAAATATCCCTTTCCAAAAACAAATTAACCCTGGCTGTCTGAGGATCACTAGGAAGCATATCAGATGGGGGTTTGTGAATATGCATAGTACCGGGAAACCCTCAACCTGTTGAGGTTGCCATAGAAGCTATCATTGCCGTCTGTGGACCCAGCCTGTTAGCGCAGTGCATGTGGGGAGAGTGACCCCACAGGGGCTGCTACAAATGAATGAAAAAAAAATACTAGTGCTTACTCTGTGCCTAGGACTGTGCTCCACACTGGGGATTCAAATATAAAAGTGGACAGTCCTCGTCCCAAGGGACCTAACATTATAATGGGGAAGCAACACACATAAGGGGGTGATGGCCAGCCAGCTAGGGTTTGGAAATTCACAGGCATGGTAAGTGGAACCACAGGGTCATAGATTGACATACCCTTTCCAGAAGAATCTGATGGGACTCTCCCAATTCGAGCACGTCCCAAAAGATTTCTGGGGCCCTGTTACTTCAGCAACTCGTGGACAAAGTGGGCAACACGGTCTGCTATTGATTTTGGTCTCCTCTAGGAGATCTCATTGTGAGTGGGAAAATGCTGGAAGAGACCAGTAAGAAGCTGTTGAAGATTTTAGAGCAGCTCCAGTTGGCTGGTCTAAAGCTAGCAGTTAGGTGACACACTGGGTAGAGTGTTGGGCCTAGAGTCAGGAAGACCTGAGTTCAAATTCAGCATCAGGCACTTATTAGCTGTATCACCCTGGCCGTGTCACTTAGCCTGTCTGTTTCCTTATCTATAAAATGGGGTAATAACACCTACCTTCCAGGGTTGTTGTGAAGGTCAAATGAGATAATTTTTAAAGTATGACTGGCACATAGCATGTACCTAATAAATGCTGTTCCCTTGCTGTTGGCCAACAAATAACCATTTTGCTTGAGCACCGATCAAATATGCGGATCACAAAGTAAGTCTGTGGGGAGCAAATATTGACCCCGCAAAGGCAGAAATGCTTGTTACATGGTTGTATCCAAAGAATTATCATGAACTGAACATACTTGTATGATTTGGTGATTATCACGGATTTACAAAAAAACTATGCCTTTGATGTAAAGTCCCTTAATGATTATTTCCCTAGACAGATGACTGGGAGAGGCCATAAGCATCGGACAGAAGGGAAATTCAAACAGCATTCCAGACAGAAGAAAACTTTCAGACTTGGTGCATTAGCACCCTTCTGTGATAAGACATGGGACCAGACCTTGAAGGAACTAATTGTCTGCCATATACATGCACTAGTCATGCTTTAAGTTGATTAAAATAAGCCTTTTGTGTATCCTGCTATGTTCGAGGGCTTGGAGGCAGTCTTATGCCAGGAGAGAGATGGTGACCAGAGCCTAATTTATTTTCCAATAGGGGATTCATTGATCATGAGTGAATGCCATTATCTCATCTGCAAGCTGGAGTTCTTGGCCTTGAAGTGGGCTGCCGCTGAAAAGTTTCAAAAATGTATATTTGGGAACAGACACTAACTGATCTTTATTCTGATAAGTACCAAGTTTGATGTAACTTGACAGGAGTGGGTGTTTGTCCTCACCAACTATGAATTCAGCATATGAATTCAGAGGAAAATGGATGCAGATACACTATCCTACTGGCCCTTTGTCTCAGAGGACCCAATGCCTGGTACATAGATAGATAAAACATTTATTGAGTTCTTAGTATGTGCTAGGTACTGGATTAAGCTCTTCAGATACAAACACAAGTAAATAAGACATTCTGGGGAAAAACAACATAAAGAGGAGTTGGAGAGCTGGCTGGGGTGGGGGGTAGCTATACAGGGGCAACATGCCTGGTGAGGAAGAGAAGTCCAGAGAGTGAGTCAAAGTGAGAGTAAGGTGAAGCCTGACAGGGCCGTTTTTGAAGTAGTGGTCTGGGCAAGGTAGTCATTGATTGGGAGAGCGAGGTCTCAGGGTAGAGGTTTTGTCCAGGGAGGGAAGCTGATTGGTGAGGAGGAGGAGAAATCCAGAAAGTGAATCTGGGCACGAGTGGCATATAGTAGGTGCTTTACAAATGTTTATTGGTTGATTGATTGATGAGAGATGGTGATTTTCAAAGCTAAAGGCACTCTGTAACTCAAAAAGAGGAGGGGCCCCAGCATAGGAAAGCTGGGCCAGTCCTTCACGGCTCATTGATGGTTTCATAGCTCAAGGATGACTATCAGTGAGCCGAGATGCAGGCTGAGGTTCCACGAGTGGCGATAGTGGCCAAGAGGAAGGGATGTGAGCACTAAGGAGGCATCAAGCTTGGCTCCGTCACCACTGGTGGCAGAAGTTGGGCGTCATGAATGGAATACTGCAGGGGAGGGGGGAAGGCACAATGAGTGTCTGTGTTACATAGGAGAAGACAACTCCAGTCCATGGCCAGGAAACTACAGGGTAAGGTTGGATCTAGCGGCCAAGACGCCACCGTAGTTCTGGGGTGGAATAGATTCTACCGTCCCTGAAGGTTAGGCAGTAGGCATAAGAAGTTTAAGACCCGAGTCAGGTACGTTCAAAGAAAGATGCTGCTCACTCATTCACCTGGAGAACAGCAACAGCCACCCTGAGAGTCAGCACAGATTCTTGTTTCTGGAAGGGAACTGGAAGATGAATAGCGCTGTGGTGGCAATGGACTGCTTTTTTGTTGTTCAGTTATTTCAGTCATGTCTAACTCTCTGTGACCCTGTTCGAGGTTTTCTTGGCAGAGAAACTGGAATGGTGTGCCATTTCCTTCTCCAGCCCATTTTACAGATGAGGAAACTGAGGCAAACAGGTTCAGTGACTTGCCCAGGGTTACCCAACTAGTGTCTTGAGGCCAGATTTGAACTCTTCCTGACTCTAGGCCTGGAGCTGTACCCACTGCACTACCTAGCTGCCCAAATGGACCACTTTGCCCTAAGATATATGCCATGGATTGGTACTGAAGCTTGAGGATATTTTGAAATACGATTGGAAATTTTTCTTTTTTTGTTTTCAGAGCGTTAAAGATTTTGGTCCCCGCGACTGATTCCGCTGCCATTAAGAGAAGTGGGATCAGCCCCCTTCATTGTGCAGCAGCTGGAGCACACTCACAATGCCTTGAGTTTCTCCTCCGAGTCGGATTTGATGCCAACTTCATGCTTGATCAGAAAATTCGCAAACACTACGATGACCAAAGAAAGTCAGTCCTATATTTTGCTGTGTCAAATGGCGATGTCGCCTCAGTTAAGCTGCTCTTGAACGCTGGGGCGCTGCCCAATCAAGACCCAGTCAACTGCCTCCAGATAGCCCTCAGAATGGGTAACTATGAGCTGGTAAACCTGCTCCTCCGGCACGGAGCCAACGTCAATTATGTCTGTAGAGTGAATCCTTTACATTTCCCATCAGCTCTGCAGTACACACTCAAAGACGAGATCATGCTAAGGTTGCTGCTGAACTATGGGTATGATGCGGAGAGATGTTTTGACTGTCCCCATGGAGACAAAGTTCATTCCCGCTACACTTTTGAAGGCTGGACCTCAACTGTCATCCGAGATACACTGGTAAGCACTTGGTGTGAGTGACGTTACCCTGGTGTGGATTTATGTGTGTAGGGATCTCACCATTGAATTGGAAACAAACGGCCATCACAGATAGGCATAGAAAGTCTATTCCTTATGGAAGGAACAGAAATTCTCATAAAATATGAGTGAAACAATTGAAAATGCCTCATTGCCTTTGGAGAGATGCTGTCTTAGAGGGCAGAATTATAGCTCGAATGAATGATTAAGTCAGCCCTGAGTTCTGTCATGTGACTTCGGGAGCAGACCCCTCCTATGTGCAACCTTTATTTAAAATCTCACATGTATGTGAAGTGTCACACACGTGACATTTGCTTGCTATTTACTAGCAATACAACATATACACATTTATATCCGTGTGTGAGACTACACACACATCTTGTTCTGTCCGGCTCTTAGGCTGTAAAATGGGTCGTGAATTGCAATACAATGTACAATAAGCTTCTTTGACTTCCTCAACCAATTCTAATGCTCAAAGACCTCAAGGCATAGATCGAGAAGCAAGTCAGTAGATAGTCCCTTGACTCTCCAACATTGAGAACAATAGGAAGTCCATGGTGGAGATGCAGATGGTGACGTTCAGAGAGCACCTCTGGAACAGCATGAAATGACAGAACTGGACAAGTAAAGTCTCCCTAAAGATGTCGGTGTATGATATCTCATGGGCTGGGACAGACTGTGCACCTCACGGAAGACAGAACCATCTTCAACATTAACTGTTGAAGATGCTACGCTCCTGAGCTCTTCACCTAACTTGGTGAGTTCTATCATAGCCTTGAACAAAACTCATCAGAATATAAATTGTGTTTGGACCACAGGTTTGTTCCATAGCAATGCGAGAATGTATGGGCAGGGCCACGAGAGATCAGCTCTCTCACCTCATGTTACTAACATCCAACCCACTCAAGGTGAAAAGTGAGTTCTATCATGATATAGACTAAAATGGATCCGTGATCTCATTGTTTGGAACGTCCCCTCCAATTTTCTCCCAAATTGGTAGAAAAAGAATGCTACCTTAATGACTCTTTTCCAAAAAGGTGGTTTCCATTCATACATCAAAATTACTTAAGATTCCTTGAAAGATATAAAAATAGAGAAAACCTCATCTGAAATCCTTCTGGTTAAAAAACAAATGTCAGGCAAGGTATAAACAAGGAGACATATGCTTGCTAGAGGTATACACCATTGTCGGGGAAGCAATCCAACAGAGTCTGCCTTGAAGAGGGATTCCCTATGGATGGTGGGGTCCTCCTCGACGCTCCTGTTTGAAGATAACATCATGTTAGGACAGGGATGGCACACACAGTAAATGCTCATGAAATGTTTTCTATAATCTTAGTGCTGACAGGGGCTCTAGAGAGTCTCTAGTACAATGCATTTTACAGATGTTGGAGTTGAGGCGTTGAGGGGTAAAATGCCTTGCCCAGGATCACAGAGGCCCAGCTCTCCTGACTCCTACTGGGTACCTTGCAGTCTCTCTTGTAGAACAGCACTGATTACCAACTCTGATGCTGACGCTGTCCTTCTCTTCCTCAGTTCTGCGAGGTGATCACTCTGCCTTGGCTGCAACACCTCTCGGGTAAGGTCATTCAGGTGATGCTCGACTACGTTGACAGAGTTCAGATCTGCTCCAAGCTAAGAACGGTACTCCAAGAACAGGCATCGTGGGCAGAAATCAATTCAGTCCTGAGTAAGTACCAGGGCTTCTCAGCCAAAGTATTGATGGCACCTCTTTTTTCACCTTATTATTGAGCCGCTCATTTTCCTGGTTGAAAATTGGACGTGTAGGAAAAAAACCCTATTTATGGTTTGTTGCTAGTACCCTTTTCCTCTGGACCCCAAAGTAACATTATTAGGGTTTTCTGTGAGTAGTATTTCTTCCCTTTCTATGTAAATCATGGTTCAATTCTGGGGTCACAGCAGTTGACTGTAGAAACCAGTATTGATAGGTCTCTCCAAATTCAAACTTTTGCATCACGGGGAGCCTTCTTCCCATCTCTTTACTGCCAGATGCCTTCTTGTCTTCTCATTCTTCTTGGTGATCTTGGGGACTTAGCATGTAATGAGGTCAGGACTTTAATGTGAAGTCCTTAGGAAATGTGGTTGAAAAACAGTACAGCCAGGTGCTGCTTCTGGTTCTCACATGAAATGGCTACTTACTGGACCTCACATTTCTGATCTCACAATACTAAACAAGTCTTGACCAGGGTGGGCAGAAATGAGAAGCGAAAGCACCATTCTCCAGTACTAAATAATGTTCATTTAGAAGTCAGTTTAAAAAAGGAAAAACGCAGTAAAAACTGTATCGTTAGGCCATTCTTATATCCTCACTAACTGAACCCTAAGTTCATCCAAAGATAAAGCAACTAACTCTTGGGACAATTCACCATTTTTTTTTTCCATTTTAGCAAACCCTCGTTCCCTAAAACATCTTTGTCGTCTAAAGATTCGGAAATGCATGGGACGCTTACGTCTACGCTGCCCTGTCTTCATGTCATTTCTCCCACTACCTAATCGACTGAAAGAATATGTACTTTTCAGAGAGTATGACCTTTATGGACAAGGATGTTTAAAAGGGACCTGGTAATTGAAATACTCCAGAGCAAACGTTTTGCAGCCAGGTTCCTTAAAAATAGGAAACTATTCAGTCTCTCTCCTGGTTCTATCTGTCATGTATAATATGCACATTTACCCTCTGCCTTGCCCAAGTTGTTCAGAACCCACCCATCCATCCATCTCCATGTAGAGCAGATAGTGGGTATACACAAATACACTTGGGATCAGTGATTTGTCAGCTTGAGGAGCTTGGTTGTGAACTCCCTCCAACAACTGATGAAAACCAGTCTAGCAGAGAGGTCCCAGGGAACTGTCAGGATCACATGGAGACTGAGACTTGCCCAGTGTCAGACATGTAGGAAGGATCAGAGGGTGGATTTGAATCCATGTTTTCTGGACCCTAAGCCCTGCTCTCTATTCACTCTGCCACACTGCTTCTATGGCAGACACAAAGTTTTAAGAATGAAAACATTACCATAAAACCTCAATTAACTGGAATGGTCCCATTTTCTAACGATGTTTTCAACCCATTAGAAATCTTTCCAAAGCTATCCATCCACCTTTGCACTTTAGTAGAGAAGGTATTTTCAAGAAAATGGAATCTTTGATGACTGATCTTGTAATCGTTGTATTTTTAGCAACAATTTTTACTGTACAGTATTGGCAGATGAAGAATGTGGTGGGATGGAGTTGGGTGATTTGCCTCTAAACAGCTGTGGACAAATCACTTCCTTATCCTCAGTTTCCTTATCTGTTAAACGAGGGACTGAGAGGAGATGATCCCCAAGGTCTGTTCAGGCGCTGACATTTCCACTCTGGGCCACTTAGGTCAGGAATCTTCAGTTCAAACCCCTGATCCGACTGGCTGCTGTGTGGCCATGGGCAAAGTTCTTTAATTTTTCTGAGTGGAAAACGGGGGAACACTAATCAGCAAGCATTTATTAAGTGCCTACTACGTGCCCCACCCTCTACGAGGTGCTGGGGATCAAGTGCAAGAGGCAGCCCCCGTCTTCTACGAGCTCTGTGCCGTGGGCAGGATACGTGTCTAGCGACTTCAGTGTGCCAGAGGTCGAGACTGTCAGGAGCAGAAAAGGCCAGACGCTCGGCATCAGCAGCCTCGTCTGAAACGGGCTCTGAGCAAAGTGCTTTGGAAACTAGACATCACGTGAATGAGGCGGGAGTTTGATGCTCAGGGTTTAGTTAGAGTGTGTACTCACCTTGAAAACAAACAAAAGCCCACATCAATTTCCAGTCATCTGCTTTCTTGGGTCAAGTACAAAATAAGCAGGGAGGGATTGGTTGAGCTCTTTGGTTAACTGAAGGTTTGATGCAAATGTCTTTATACAAGATGCTGGATGTCTGTCAAGCTTGCGATTAAGAGAATGCTAACATAGAAAGTAAGCTGTGTTTTAAATAAATACATATGAATTTAAGTAAAATGTGGCAACATTGTCAAATTTCTAATGACTCCAGTTACTGGGATATAAACTAATCACTGCTGGGCATACAGAAGTGTTCAGATAACTGGTAGATTTGTTGACAGAAACAATGACAGCATCTGATTAAATTACCTAAATGATTTTGTTCCTGTATTTCTTAAAACAATGGATTTAAATGCCAGTTTCTATATGTAGAAATTAAACATTTTGCATGCATCCCAAGAATGATACTCTTCTGGCCATGCTAGTATTCAGACAATACATCAATAATTTGATATAAAAATAAAATGTCAGAGAACCAATCCCTTCCCATATTTATATTTTAACGGCAATGCCCAATTCAGTAAACAAGAATACCCTCCAGAACCAGATGATCACGATATACCGTGCCCCACTGAGTTTATCAGATGTGGGACTTAGAAGCACCATAGGCTACTTTAACAAGCACATATTTACTTTGGGAGGAGAGTAAATTTAGTGATGGACAGTCTTTTAGAAAAACATTTGCAGGAAAAACCAGCATTAATAGTCTGTTTTTTCTTAAGTTATAGGGTCAGATTATATATGTGTGTGTGTATATATATATGTGTGTATATATATATATGTAGAATATACATGTATCTATATTAGTTAAATTACATTAAGTAAAAATTCTATTGCATTTGGAGGGGTAAGTTTACAAACCTTACAGAATGTGGAGAGGACTAGCCCACAGAAATCAAACCTCTATAAGAATGGGATGTTAAGTCCTAAAAGAAATTATAAATAGAATACATGGAAATGATATCATTTAAGCAATGCCATAGCTCTATGCTGGTATATACATTCACCCAATCCTTTAGAACAGAGGTGTCAAACCTGGCCCAGCAAAACTCCAAGTGCTGCTGGAAACAGATCAAAATGTAATTAGGAAATGTTTAACAAAATACATAAAAATACAATACGACATAGATAATGTTAATTTGCGGTTTTCTAAGTCAATATGTGGCAGGCAGAGATTGGTGTCTATTTGAGTTTGACCCCACGGCTTTAGAGTGTGACAATTCTTTAGAAAGTGTTTGGTAATAGTAAGACCAAAATGGTGGTAAATGTAAGCCTGCTAACATGTCAACTCTAATTATTGAAAAATGTCACTTTCCACTGCCCATCACATTTCTGAAAAAGTGGCAATACATGGAATTATAGTGTTGTAAGCAGAAGAAAAATGTTCAAATCTTTGACAATGTATGTCATTTGAAAGCACTTAGATTCAATACAAATATTTATATTCCATGCACCTATTTCAAACCCCAAATTATTATATATAAGACACATTATTTTATTACATTTAAAATTCAAATGGCATATTACCATTCAGTCCTGTCAGCAATATTCTATGCCCATTTTTACAACATAAAAAAAAAATCCCAATGTCACCATTGTCTTATATACAATCCCAATTCTAAAGGGAAATTTTGCATGATTCTTAATTATTGAAAACTGCTGAAAATTACACCAACAAAACAATCAATCTAGCATTACAAAAATTTGCCCATGTCACATTACAAAATCACTCGAACATACTACAAAAAGTAGTCATTTCTGTACATGAACCTGGTTTGTACATGGACCTGTTCTCATGTTAGCTCTTCACATACATGATAAATTATCGTAGACGATCACAAGTGATGGCTTAAAAATGTAATGAAATTCTGACTTCCCCACAGATGCTTCTTAATAATTGCGTCTTCAATTTCATGGGAATGAGGATTAAATCTCATAGATGTAAGGCGAGTCACCATTTCTCCAAATGGAATGAAATACTTGCCATAACGGGGGCTCTTTTGGGCACCTGAAATGGAGCAGATCTGAGCCTGAGCTATTAAATGAAACAAGAACAAAAACAAAACCAATGAGATGACCCAGTGCCTTGTGATCCAATGGATGCTTCAGATGTTTAGAATTTAAAAGAAAACTTCCCAAAAAATACTTCAACTTCTTGTATCTGACTCCAAAATTTGTAGGATTGATTTCTTTGTTAAATAAGAATTCTCATATTAGCATTATGTTTATCTTTCAATCATTCATTCTTTTTTCTTTATCTTTTTAACTTAGGTCAAAATAGCCTTTTAAAAAATTAATGAAGTTTTAGGGTTCTGTTATAAAAATCCATGAACTGGAGGTGTTATAGTATGGCACGACACTGACTTCAGGCACAACTTTAAAGATGCCAACAAGTGTCCAATTTTAGTATTTGACAACAGTTGAAAGGAGAATGTAACAGCTGGCTAACTTTTTACTTAGGGTGAAAAGGTAGGTGTTTATGTGAGGGGCTAGGGAATTAGAAAATTTCTGCTTAAATATTTTATGTATTTCTTCAGGATGTGGATTGGTCCAGCTTACACCTTTAATCATTAAGAACAGTAATCTGGGGAAAATGCCTTAAATCCTAATCCTGTTGTCACCAGGATTCAATTAAATAAATAGATATTAAGCATCTACTCCATGCAAGGCACCTATGGTGCAGAGGGCAGAAAGACCTATGTCATAACTCCGCCCTTAAGGAAGGGTGTGGTGTGAGAGGGGAAGACACATACATATGATAGAGAGAATTTGATGACCATGAGGGAAGGGTTCAGGTAAAGTGCCAGGAACAATATGAACAGAGAGACCACTTGCAGTTGCCGGGAACGGGAAACAATTGATGGAGAAAGTGGGACTGGAGTTTGGCTTTATAAGAACAGAAGGACTTCAATACAGACTGGGTGGGGGCAGTGGATGGGAGCTGACAGGGTGACCCCAAGAGACAGAGAATAGTCTACTTGGACTAGAATATAGAATATATAATAGTGGAATAGTATACAATAAGGCTGGAAAAGTGTGCTGGAACCAGACTGTTATGCAGACCAGCAGTCTACACATGACTCAGGAGGTAACGGGGAAGTTTGGGGGCAGAAGAGTGTAGTGATCAGCTCAGTGCATTAAGAAGATTTCTAGGACCACAGTATGAATGACAGATTGAAGAGGGGATTGAAGGGAGACAAAAAAATCACTTAGGCTTTTACAGTAATCGAGGCAAGAAGAAACAAGACTTTGGACTAGTCAAGTAGAAGAAATTTGGTAGAGATAAAGTCCTTTTACAACCATCAGAAACAGACATATCTAGTCAACTCTCAATTATCTACAGTAGAGCAGAGGCTGGAATCATCCAGGATAGCAACTAATTAAAAAATAATTTTTATTCGGTTTGAGTTTTTTTAAATTTACAGTTGGATATGGGTTTGATATCATAAAATTGACAATACTTCAAAACAAAAGTGAGACCATATATATTGTAGGGACTCAAGAAAAACAGGAAAATCGCCCACCTTCCTCACTTTGCTCTCCCCAAATCAAAGTCATACTGTATTAGTAATAAAAGATATTTTTATCATTCAATTTTTCCAGCTTATACAGAACTTTCCCTTCTTGCTAAAAATTTTCCTTTGTTTCTTGTTTTTAAAGAACTTCCCTAAAAGTTACAGAGACTGCATTTGAAATAAGAGTAAATGGACACAATCTATGATGTAAACAAATGATTTAAGCAGAATATGCACTATTTATCAATAACAACTTAAGAGCAAGATTTTACATGGATGATTATTGATCAAAGCACAACTTTTCAAGTGAAGGAATTAGTTCATGTTGACATTTATACCATTCCCTATATAAGTAGTAAGTCATATATTCTCAAATAAATTCAGTCATATGGACCAGCTGCAGATTTTTTTTTTTAAACTAAATGTCTAGGTAACCTAACGCTGCCAGTAAGCATTAAGTAAGTCAAAATTTCCACTTGGCACACAGACAGATAAAAGAAAGGCCTAATTAAGTATCTGACATCACCTGTTCTAGTGATCACAGAAAGCAGTAACCCATACACTGATTGAGAGCCAAAAATGAACCCCTTTAGTTCACTTTTGAAGAAAATAGCTGCATTTTAAAGAACAGAGTTTTCCCTTGTGAAATTCCAGATTGTTATTGGAAACTGTAACTTTTGACCAAACTCACAAACTGACTAAAACATTTCTTAATACATTTAATTTGCTGAAACTATATTTTCGTGTAAAATTCTTAAATTTAGGAGAAGCACTATTTGTCAGAAACATTAATAATTGTAAAAAATAAACATCTGACATGGAAGAGGCCTGTAGAAAATTGTCATCGTTTATAACTATGGCTCAGAGCCAAAACCGTTTTCTTTTTTAAGTTTTTCTACAACATACCAGACATTACAAGATGTTTTTGAATCCTACGTATGTGTCTTCTACTCATTAGAATAGTATTATTTACAATAATTAGTGCAAATATGACATTTTTATAAATTAGCTGTTTGCCATTATGGAAGATTCAATATCATACACAGCAAGAAGCTGAGGGTTATTTAGCGGTGAAGATTTGGAGAATGTCAGTTGAAATTATTCCAAGTGAGCACAAATCCCCAAATGTGGAGGGATTTCTGCTTAATCAGTAAACATAATTGCTGAAGAACGTTTGTTGCAATGTCACTCAATTGTAATGAACATTATGATTCTGTATGATATAAAAAATAGAATTCATCACTGAGTAAATCAGATACCAAAGGCCAAACTGCCCTGTCCAAATTCACTATCTACAATGTATCTGAACAAAAGCTGTCCTTCCACAACCCCCAAACCTCCTAACTTTCACTGCTACTACTTGGCGGCAGTATTTCAAGTCCCACCCTGAGAATGAGGATGTGAAGCTCACATACACGCCAAGCGTGAGGTTCATCTGGACATGGAGAAACTTCTGTTTCTATTTCCATATACACCAAGATGTAATTACATCCCACGAAGTCATGCCAATGAGGCATTCTGAAATTAAATGGCACCTCCCTGAAAACCTAAAACCACACACATAAAACCCGTGTCCCAGGACTGTTCCAAGGTGCACTGCACGTTCACTGTTGTAATATTAGTTTCACAAGGATGAGTGATGTTTTGCATAAAATGCAAATGATTTTGAACCTGTTCAGTATAAAGCGTCTTCCTGCTTCCAGCAGACAGAAATAACAACCCCCTGTACAGCTGAAGCCCAAGGATAAATAATGCCTTTTAGTTGTACCCAGTTGCAAAGCCAAGATAAAAAGTTTGAAATTGAGAAAAAAAAAGTCTCAATTCAGTATAATTCTGCAGCAACCTACTTCAGTAAACTGACAGATTTTTTTTAAACACGTGGAATTAGGTGTTAAGTTATTGTTATTACAGAAATTTTAAGTCAGTTTTAAGAGGAAAAAATCAATGTAAAACTTGGTTGGCAAGTTCAGTCTTCTAGAAAAAAATCTGAAGTATCCAACTTGATGCCTCTTAAGGTTGTTTAACTTGTGCTGTTTCACCTCAGAAACTGCTAATAGATTCTGATGGTGGAAAAAAGCCACCAAAAAATGGATAACCTCATGCTTCTGACTCTTTCTTCTTCTTTCCATCTTCTCCCAAATCACTGTCTTCAGACTGGCTACTACTAAGGACCACAAATTGTCCTTCTCCACTCGTCTGGTTTGGTCTACTGGAGGCAGCTATTAATCGACTTTGTTCCTCTAAGTCCTAGGAAAAGTAAGAAATCACAGTGACTTTCATGGCCCTCTCTAATCAAACGGAAAACTACATGACTAGCATAAAACAACAACAAACTGTTAAAATGAAAGGCTACTTGAAAATCTAACTAAGGACTTTTTCAGAACTGGCCTTATTTCAAGAACTCTTAGGAATAAGTGAACTATATATTATGTTGGTATCCTAGGGTACTTTTTTTGCTTGCAAAACAAAATAGTTTCACACTTGAGGAATCACCTCAATTGATCTAGAGATATTTTTTAAAAGAAGACTAGCATTATAAAGAAGTTTCATTATTTTATAATTCTACTTTGATTTTAAAATCACATCTCTACTGCCAAGCACAGTGCCTGGCATACTTCTTAATAAATACTGTTTGATTGCCTGACTGACAGCTTTGGACCAAAAATGTTCTCCCTCAACTTGAACACTTTTTTTATTTACCAGACTTGGCTTTTCACGACTCTCAGACAATTAAAAAAAAATCAAACGCATCCTCAAAAACCCAAGCATTGCCCGATTCAGGATTGTCAGTAGTACGTGCAGCTGGCTCTGAAGACCATTCTATTTATTTATTTATTTACTTGTTATTTTTTTTAACATGTGTTTTTAAAACTTTGGGTTACAAATTTTCTCCCTTCCTCCCTCCCCACCCACCCTCATTGAAAAGGCAAGCAAGTAGATACAGGTTATAGATGTGTAGTAGTCCTGTTGTGAAAGACTAAGTATATTTCCCTTCATCCTATCCTACCCCCCATTTATTTTATTCTCTCTTTTGACCTGTCCCTCCTCTGAAGTGTTTGCTTCTGATTACTCCCTCCCCCAATCTGCCCTCCTCTCTAACATCCCTCTGCTCTCTTGTCCCTTCCCTCCTTATTTTCCTGTAGGATAAGATAGATTTCCATACCCAATTGAGTGCGTGTGTTATTCCCTCCTTAAGCCAAATCCTATGAGAATAAGATTCACTCATTCCCTCTCACTTTCCCCCATTTTCCCTCCACTGTAAGAGCCTTTTCTTTTCTGTTTCATGTGAGATAATTTACCATGTTCTACCTCTCCTTTTCTCCTTCTCCCAGCATAATCCTCTCTCACCCCTTAATTTTATTTTCCAGATATGACCCCTTCATCTTCAACTCACCCTGTGCCCTCTATCTATCTATCTATGCATACATATAATTTTTTTCCCTCCCATTACCCTAATACTGACAAAGGACTCATGAGTTGCAAATATCATCTTTCCATGCAGGAATATAAACAGTTCAACCTTAATAAATCTCTTACGATTTTCTCTTTCCTGTTTATCTCTTCGTGTTTCACTTGAGTCTTGTATTTGAAAGTCAAATTTTCTGAAGACCATTCTAAAAGTGCTCCAAAAATGTACCAAGCACTGGCATTCCCCCGACGCCTCATCTCTCAAAGTGATGTCACATGTGAACATGTAAATAACGGCATGGTTGTGAAAACACCAAGTTCATCTTGTGACATGTGCCAGGTCACTCAAAAATTCAGGTGACATTTTGGAAAGCAATGATGAAGCAATAAGGTGGCTCAAGTTACAGCTTGACTTTGAAAGAAAATCTAAAAATACCTCTGCTGCCCAAGTTACAAGATTTTAGAAAAAATGATACCTTTTCAATTTGTTTTTGCTTATTCAGTTCCTTCTGTTGTTTCTCTTTTACTCTCTCTATTTCTTTTTGTTTCTCTGATGCTCTGCGATCCTGAAGAGGAAAAGATAAATTCATTTGCACAAAACAAATTTACACACATATTGTTTTAATCTATTCTAGAAATGAATTCTTACTTGATTAAACCTTAATAAACAGCACATTTAAATCCTCTCTTTTACATTAAAACAGCCATGTAATGGGTTATTTTTATATTTCATTATTATATCAATGCAAAACTTCAAATTATTTTATTTCAGAAAAACTTGATTGAAGTAATAAAACACCTCCAGACTGTCTGGCTTCCATATTCCTACTCTAGCAAAAGTCTGAAATTTGCACCAGACTGAATAATGACCAAGAAATTTAATGAGAAGCTACAGTAAATGATTTCTCCCATCCCTGAAAGCCACAGGCAGTAGGAAGAAAAGAAAAAGAAATTGAAGGAATAAGACTAAGCACTGAAGAAACAAATCATATGATGGTACGTACACTGAGAGAATCCGAGAGATTCAACTAAAAAACCAGTTGAAATAATTAACAACTTGAGCCAAGTTGTAGGATTATAAAGCAAACCCACATAAATCACCAGCATTTCTATATGTTCCCAACAAAGTCCAGCAGCAAGAGACAGAAGGAGAAATTCTATTTAAAATAACTGTAGATGACATAAAATACCTGAGAGTCTATCTGCCACGACAAACCCAGGAACTCTATGAACACAATTACAAAACACTTCTCACACAAATAAAGTCAGATCTAAACAAATGGAAACATATTAATTGCTCCTGGGTAGGCTGAGCCAATATAATAAAAATGACAATTCTATCTAAATTAATCTACTTATTCAGTGCCATATCAAACTACTAAAACTTATTTTATAAAGCTTGACACAATAAATTTATCAGGAAGGCCAAGAATATCAAGGGAATCAATTAAAAAAATGTGAAAAAAGGTGGCCTAGCTGTGCCAGATCTCAAATTGTATTATAAAGTGGTAATCATCAAAACAATCTGGTACTGGCTAAGAAATAGAGTGGGGGATCAGTGGAATAGAGTAGGCATACAATACATTGTAGTAAATGACCACAGTAATTTAGTGTTTGATAAACCCAAAGATTCAAGCTTTGGGGACAAAAACTCATTATTTGACAAAAACTGCTGGGAAAACTGGAAAACAGTATGGCAGAAACTAGATAACAGACCAACATCTTACACCATATACTAAGATAAGGTCAAAATAGGTACGTGATTTAGACATAAAAGGTGATACACAAGCAAATTAGGAGAGCACGGGATAGTTTATTGGTCAAATCTATGGCTAAGGGAAGAATTTAGGACCAAACAAAATATAGAGAACATTACAAACTGTAAAATTGATCATTTTGATTATATAAAATTAAAAAGTTTTTGCACAAACAAAACAAATGCAACCAAAATTAGAAGGTAAGCAGAAAACTGGGAAAAATCTTTTTACATCAAGTTATCTCTGATAAAGGCCTCATTTCTAAAATATATAGAGAACTGAGTCAAATTTATAAGAATACAAATCATCCCCCAATTGATAAACGGTCAAAGGATCTAAACAGGCAGTTTTCAGACAAAGAAATCAAAGCTATCTAAAGTCATATATGAAAAAATGCTCTTTTAATTAGAGAAATGCAAATTAAAACAACTCCTGAGTTATCACCTGACAGCTATCAGATTAGCTAATATGACAAAGAGGAAAATGATAAATGTTGGAGGGGATGTTGGAAAATTGCAACACTAATACACTGTTGGTGGAGTTGTGAACTCTTCATTCTGGACAGCAATTTGGAACCATGCCCAAAGGGCTATAAAACTGTGCATACCTTTTGATCCAGGTCTGTATCCCAAAGAGATTTAAAAAAAAAAAGGGATGAAGGGTAGCTAGGTGGTACAGTGGATAGAGCACTGGCCCTGGAGTCAGGAGAACCTGAGTTCAAATCTGGCCTCAGATACATAACACTTACTAGTTGTGTGACTCTGGACAAGGTCACTTAACTCCAATTGCCTTGCCAAAAAAAAAAAAAAGGGGTGGGGAAGACTCTATTCATACAAAAATATTTATAGCATCTCTTTTTGTAGTGGCTAAGAAATGGAAATTGAAGGGATGTCCATCAACTGGGAAATGGCTGAACAAGTTGTGGTATATGATTGTAATGGAATAATACTATGCTATAAGAAGTGACGAACATGATGCTTTCAGAAAGACCTGAAAGACTTACATGAATTGATGCAGAGTGAAGCATCAGAACCAGGATGCTGTACAAAGTACCAGCAATATTGTATGATGAACAATTGTGAATTACTCAATAAAACAATGAGCAAGACAACCTCAAAGGACTCATAATGAAAAATGCTATCCCCCTCCAGAGAAAGAACTTATGTTGTCTGAATACGAACCAAAGCAGACTATTTTTCACTTCCTTCCTTTCTTTATTTTTGTTTGATTTTTTCTGCACAAAATGACTAACATGGAAATGTTTTACATGATTGCACATGTATAATCCTATATCAGATTGCTTGTTATCTCAGGGTGGGGAGAAGGGAGGGAGAGAGGAATAGAATTTGGATCTCAAAACTTTAAAAAAATACAATGACTTTTTAAAATTGTTTTTACATGTAATTGAAGAAAAAGTAAGATATTAAAAGTGGAAAAAAAACCCCCACAAAGCTGAGGCCCATGGAGGTTATGAAATATTTGAGGCTGCCTACCTGCTAAGTCATGGGCCCAGTCAGAATTCACACTCAGATCTTCTGACTCCAAAGGAGTCCTCTCCTAATCCCATGGCCTTCCTCCTCTTCCCCCAGCCCCTACACCTCCCCTGCCTCAAAAGAGTTTAGTCAAAGCCATACCCAAATAACCTCTTCTACAACATCTTGGACAAATGGCTGCCTATTCCTTGTCTGAAAGACCGCTAGTGGCCTCCTGAAGTAGCCCTTGTCACCTCTGAATACCTGTTAGGAAGATTTCCTTTATAATGAGCCCTAAATCTGCCTTTGTGCCATTTCTACCCATGTCTCCTAGTTCCATCTTCTTAAGACAAGCAGAACAAGCTGAAGCCCTCTTGCATGGGAAAGAGCCTCACGATTTCTCTAGGCTCGGTAGCCCGACTTCCTTCAACTAATCCTCTAAGGACAGTGAGTCAGGTTTGCTGCTTGTTTGGTAATTGCTGACCCTAATTTCCATAGAAATGGCAGACTTTTGGGAGTATATAAAGTTAACATGCAAATTTAATAAAGTTATGTTTTGGAGTCTTACCAATTCAGCATGCAAAGCGATCTGTTTTGCAAGTCCAACAGAATCACAAATCTAAAACAAAAAATAAAGTTTAAACAACGCAAGAAAACTTAAAAGCATTCTCACTTTGAGGAAATAAATCTGAAGAAATTATTTAAATATTCCCTGAATCCCTCTGGTAAAACTAGACTCACCAACACAGAACAAAAAATAAGTTGCCTAATAAGCTGTCTGACTCAAGAATTCCATCCCTTGGAGTCTGTGCTTGGTTTGTTTTTAAGAGCCTGTTGGCTCCTACCTTCTAGATCCCTCCTTCGTGCTTTCTTAGGTCCACTGGAAGGACATTTGAGATTTCAAAAGTATACTAAATGTCCAAGACTACTGCTTCTTCTCCACTGAAGTCATTTCCAAAGGTATGAGAAGGATTATCATCCTTCATCCTGGGTAACTGAAGGAGAGCAAGAGACTCTGATGGTAGGTGGGTACCACTTGTACACATCTGAGCTCGTATTGGTCTGATCAGCCACAGTGGGACACACGCTGTACACTGATCCCCACAAATTGATGTCATTTTGGTCCTCGTCGATTATGAAGGACAACAACCAACAAAGCTACAGGGAACAGATCACTCACACACTTACTGACCACGTAGACTGCACAAGGCCTCGTCTAGATCCCCTGACATGCAAGGTCCAGCAGTCCCAGCCCCCAACTTCCTTAGGCAGAGGAATGGGTAGTACTGGAGCTTCCTTTAGGGGCTTTACTTAAAAACTATTATATGTTTCTTACATATATGATAACAGATGTTAAAATGCAAAGTACCTTTTCTCCTTCATTGTTTGATTCAAATATGTAGCACACTGAAGTTGGGTGACTCTCAACTCTGCCTCCTGATGTCCGAAGCACAAATCCAAAGAGACGTTTACTTTCCTGATGTGTAGCATACAGGACCACACTGGGCAAGGGAAACTGTCTCACACACACACACACACGGAATCGACAGGAAATAGTAAGAATCTCAAAGCAATATTCTTTTTTTTAAAAAAAAATCTCTAGTTTCTCTTCTAATAATTATTCATTTTAACATAACATTAACCTATGCTTCTGTCAATAGCAAATGTCATCATCCTTAATGGATATGGCTGAGCAGAAGACCATGGGAGTCCTGCCTCTGGAGACCCAAGCCTCAGCACCTGCTCCTGTCTCTAGCACTAATGTCCTGTGTGATCATGGCAAGTCCTTCACTTCCCGGAGCTAAGGTCCCTTAACTATTCAAATCACATTAAATTTTAAAAAACCCCATATTTTCAAATATTAACTAAGAAAATAACGTGGACTTGCAGATCTCCCAAAGCAGATATTTATGCATCCTCACCCTCAGCATAATACTCTAGTTTCTAATTCTAGGCTCTTTAATGTGCTATATGTTAACTAAATCAGTAGGTGAACTAATGTCAGTCAAATTTTCAAGTAATGAAAAACAGTTGCCAATTGCTTAGGTCTTTTTCTAAGTTATATAGGGAGTTCAATAATCACTGGACGTATCTGAAGAATCTTAGAGCAGAACTTAATTGGTGACCTTTTACCGGTCTTTTTAGTCCCATGAGCACATGCAGATATCATCAGAACAACTAATGTACTAGAACATAAAACAGACTATAAATGTATGTGTCCACAGGCATATATAGCTAAAGAAAATTTATATAACTTACTCTGAGCCTCGTAACTTGAGTTTGTGGGTCAATTAACCTAAAATTAATAATAAAAATAATATCAGGAGATACTAGTACATTTAGACTAAAAAAAAGGTTAGACAAAAATGGTTACTTACTTCAAACAGTCACAAGTAACTAATAAGTGTGATTCTGTCATCCGGAAAATGTTATGGATCGCACGGGCTGCTAGGATTTGGCGCATTGTTTCGTAAACAACATCTGGACTGTCATCTGATTTTACCTCCATAGAGCCAAGGAATCGGACAATAAATAACTGATGAAGAATGGAATCTAAAGCAGAAAAAGGCTTATCATTTTAAAATCCATTTTTCTTTTCCTTTGGAATTAAATAAGTATCTAAGTTTACATGATCCAGTGATCATATCAGGAGAGAGCACTTCTGAATATACTAGAAAAAGCCATGTACACACTATTTAGGTAAATCAGAAAAGAAAATGCAACAACTAGGCTTGGGGGTGGAGGGTGGGGGAAGGGGTTAAAGGAGATCAAGGCAGGAACAGGGCTTGGATCTATGAATTCACTAGTATAGGGAACTTCATTTGCTCCTGCAGATGGGCACCTTTTCTACAAATGAAAGTTTTAAGAGAATTGCTGAGAGCAGTGCGTCAAACTTGAGGTCCTCCTACAGCCCTCAAAAATCCCCAGGGGCCTAATCAGATTAAAATACAATTAGGAAGTATCTAACAAAATAAACAAAAATATAATAAAACAATGTTATTTTGTGTTTTTTTCCAAGTCACTATGCAGCCCCAGGAATGGTTTCTATTTGGATTGGACACCAGAGGCCTAGAGCAGAATGGTAGTCACACAAACAATCAATGTGTCAGAGGCAGGACCTGGAAGTCAGATCTTCACAGTTCTAAGGCCAGCTCTTCATACTGCACCACACTGCTCCAGGAAATTCAAAGTTCAAATAAAAAGACATTTCTGGTATATAAGTTCAAATATCAGTTGCAACTCTAGAATAAGAAGTGGCATAACAACTGTCTGGTTAGGAGATTTTAGTTGATTAAAGGACCTTTTGGCCACAGGAAGAGAAATGGTGATGATTCTTGGGGATGCACACTTCACAGCCCTCACAAACTGGGCTTACATATAAACAGAGAGAATGTGGGAAACCATTTATAACATGGTATAAGACAGAGGCTGACCAGTGGATAGAGAGCTGAACTTGGCAGTCAAGAACAGGATGCAAAACAGACACTTCTTATGTGACCATGGGCAATTTATAACTTCTTTGAGCTTTGGCTTCTTCAAATGTTAAATGGGCATAAACATCCCTGCAGTACCTAGTTCACAGGGTTGGTGTGGGAACCAAATGAAAAAAAAGTGTAAAACACTCTGTAAACTTTAAAGGGCTATAGCAACGTGAGATCTTGTGAACTAGATTCAGATTCACCTCCGGGACAATGATGTGCATACCCTTGGACTGAATGATAAACCATCTTACAATGATAGTCTTCAGAACTGAAACAAATGAGTGGCTGATGAATATTAACTAAATGATAAATCACTCTCGTATTTTACTGATTGGAAGCATCACTAGGGATACTGAAGATTTTTTTTACCTTCAGTTTCAGCCTTTGATCTTCCTCCAGATTCTCCAAATGGATTTGTACGTCTGGAAAAACATTTTTTAAAGGACACAGTTACCATCAGGTACTTGGAGAAATGATTTCTGAAAAGATTTTTCTTCTCACCCCTTCTGCTCTCCTTTGGAGGGTTGCTTCCCCCCCCCCCTTTTTTAAAGTTAGGAATCAGACATTTAAGTTAGGAATCAGACAAGACTGAAGCTAGTAGTCATGTTCATAAAAAGAGATAAATTATGTCTTGTATAGGAGGTGGGAGGAGAGGGAAGGGGTTCTTTAAAAACAAAATAAGCCCCAAACAGTATCCAAGAGACAGAATAAGGGCACCCAGAGAAGGCTAGGTGGGAGGGTAGAAGAGACACACACGGACACACTCCTGGTTCTCCGGCAGGGAGATGTGTGGAAAAAACAGCTGTATTGGAGACCCAGAAGGAAGGGTACTACAAGATGGCTCTGCCTCCTGGAGGCTTGGAAGTGGATTAAGGAGAGGGGAGGGACAAGGAGTTGGGATCTCAACCCTCCTTCCAGGAGTAGGAAGAGACCCTGGTTCTGGGTCAGCAAAAGAACAGGGCCCAAGCTGAGTCCTTTCCTTGACTTGATGCTATTTACCTCCGACGAACTAAGGGTGGTAAGGACTGGGAGGGGAAGGCTGGGCAGAGTCCAGCTATAAACCTCTACCCCCAGGATACCCTTCCTTCCTTAGTACCCAGAAAGAGAAGCCCTTTCTGGAGTAGCCACAGAAGACAGTGGATAGAACCCTGAACTTGGAGTCAGGAAGACCTGACTTCCGACACTTACTACCTGTGTGACCATTTAACCTCTGCCTGACTCAGTTTTCTTAACTGTAAAATAGGGATAATAATAGCATCTACCTCATAGTGCTATAGTGAGGATAAAATATCTGTTAAGTGCTTTGTAAATCTTAAAGAGCTATATAAATGCTAGCTATTATTATTTTTTCCAGGCCCAGGGAGAATGAAGGGGCAATGGGTATAAACATATATATTAAAAATAAAATCTCTAAAAGTTTGGATTTTTGTACAGGCTTGAGAAGTAAAGACTGAACTAATAATAACAATGCTTCATAGTCTCATAAGCTAGCTACACATTTGCCTCATAGGCTAACTGTATTGTATCAGGCTTTTCTTAATTACAGTTGTCAGGTTTCAGGAGCAACTATTTTGACCAGCACTACAGCTGTAGGAAGAATCTCTGTAACAATGAAGCATTGTAATGAGAACTACAATAAAAGTTTGCTCGGTGTACTAATTTGGTGAAATGTTAGTGTATTAATTTAGCTCCAAATACAGCTATCTAGAATAGCTCTGTAATACAGATATTTCTTCATCTCTGAATGTAGTAAAGTAAAAATCTAAACTTTCAGACTGTTTCTCAAGGCAGATGAAAAAATACATTGGAAATGAAAGTATGAACATATACAAAGGGAAGAGAAAAAATGTTTTCCTCATTTTCCAAAATTATTGAATTTTTGTTCCACTCAAAGAAAGAAAAATGGAAGGAGAACTGAAAATTTAAATAAAATTTGGAAACAAACAGATGGAGAGAGCTAAATTTTGGAAGGTCTAAGTGGTTCTAAAATAATCCTGGCATTAACACTACATGAAATGCATCTCTTGAATACACCTGACCTATTACATCAAATGGCTAAATTTATTTCAGCAATTAATCTGGATGGCTGAGTACTTGGATAAAAGCCATGTATTCCAAATCTATATACTAAGAGAAGTCAACAAATAAGGTGAATTCAAGCAGATTTTCATTATGCTTTATTTCAGAAACATGAAGAGACAGCTGCTAACTTTCTGATATAGAAAAAGCAAATAACATTAATGATACATGATACTGAGTAGGTCAATTTCAAATGGTTAAGCTAAATTATAAAAACAAGGAGAATAAAGCATAAGAGTTTTAATGTTGTTTCACCTACTTGCCTCCCTGCCCAGAATTTTTAGCCTGGCCAGGCTGATCTTCGCTAACAGGAGAAATTATGTCAAATTGTATAGGTGTATCTGGGGCAACGAGGGAATCCAGGGAAAGGGTCGCCAAAGTTGTTGACTCAGATCCAAGAGACCCTGAACTACTAGTTCGAGCTGTGTGTGGTCGAGGTTGTCTAAAAAGAGAGAAAAGCAAGAAAATACTCAATTTTAAGTTTTTGGAAACTATACTTAATATTTTTTAAAAGTGGATATATACAAGTCAAAAAACACACGAAAAAATGTTAAATCTTTAATAACCACTGAAATGCAAATTGAAACAACTCTGACATCTCAAATGACACTCATAAAATTGGTTAAGATAAAAGATGTCAATTCAATGCTGGAGTGAGGCTGTGATAAAAAACAAAACAAAACAGGACCTTTATTACATTACGAAAGGAGTTGTCAAGTTGTTTGACTTTTTGGAAAGTAATAAAAAATTAAACTAAGTTACAAGACCGTGCCTGTCCTTTGACTGAATGGTCCCACTAGTACAAGGGTTCTTAACCTTTTTAAAAGAGCTTTGCAAACTTTAATGAGCTTTATAAATGCTAGACTTTTGGGATATCCTATATACACATACAAACAGTAACAAATTCATGCTAAATAAACCAGAAAATAAAAGTTGCACAAAATAAGGATTATATGGACACTCCTGTGTTAAATCTATTTATACATATGTATGTACATATGTATGTATATCTTCTGGGCTGGAGTTTAAAAATGGTAAATAAATTTAGCACATGCACAATCATTAACAATTCTATAATTGTCTTTTTCTCTTATTTTTGTGCACATATTTGAATACTTTATTAGTTTAAGGGAAATTTCAACAAAATATATGTAAAAAAGCAAAAGATGGGATGAGATGGGGCAGCTAGGTGGCGCAGTGGATAGAGCACTGACCCTGGATTCAGGAGGACCTGAGTTCAAATCCTGAGTTACTATCTCTGTGACCCTAGGTAAGTCACTTAACCCCACTGCCTAGCCAAAAAAAAAAAAAAAAGGTGGGATGAGAGAAAACAAAAATATAAAAACACAAAAACCTGATTTTTAACCATATCAAATCATGGCTTCTTGGAATTCTAAAAGATGTGTTAATAGATCCAGAAGTATAAAATAAAACACACTCAAACACTAGAGATATCTGGATAAGTGACCTGCCATGAAGGATCTGCTGTTTTAAAAATTTCGACTTTAGCAGATTAATTGTAAATTCACACCATTAAAATATAATTATAATATAGCCTGAGAGAACTGTTTCCATATTAGTGTGCACAGCACTGCTAAGATCAAAGTATACAAAATTCTGGTCACTTTAACTATCTCATAAAGCTCTTTAAATAAGCAATCATGTAACTTACGGGTTTGGCCGCAAGCTCTCATGCCTCTGCTGGAAAGATGGTGATGGGGTGACTGCTTCTAGAGCTGACTGATTTACTCTTGCAGCAATTTCCTGTATTAATTTTTAGAAAAAGATCTTCAGAAAAGTAAATGAGTCAGAAGCCACAATACAATATTTTTAATTAACAAAGTTACAAACAACATACTAAGTTAGATCCTTTTGAAGTTGCAATAAAACGTGAACCTATGGCATACCTCCAGACATTCCAGCTCTAACAGTAAGAGATGTTAACTTCTAAACATCATCAATTCAGATGTCCTTCTTCATTAGTTAAACTACTTAGTTTTCATTAAGACATAACAGTATCTTAAATCTTTTGAGTTTAGGTACCAACTTTTTTTTTCAAATTTAAATTTTTTTATTCATTTTGAACTTAAATACACAGCAAAATATAAAAAGAGGATTCAATATAAAACCATGAATTTCCATTTCAGACTGTTAACTTTTTTTGGAAAAACTATGTAATAAATACTACACATTGTTTTCAAAGCTCCTCTGCTTTTTTGTGCTTCCAAGTTTTCTTTTGTTCTCTGCTATACACTTTTAATTTTTTTCTCCCTCCTCACAAATCCTCACAATCATTAGCCAGGATTCACCTCCTCACCCCGCCTTAGAGAAGGCTATAATTAAATACAAATATATGTGTGGGTATGTATGTATGTGTGCGTGTGTGTGTGTGTATATACATACACGCACATACATACACACACATACATGCACATGTGTATGTAATATAAAAATACAAATACACACATAAATGGTACCCACTTTTTTAGACATGCTAAATATTGACATTGCAAGGTATTTTCAGATGTCACGTTAAATGTCAGCAGGCAGGCCACAGATGGCACTTCTTTCTTTTTCATGACATTTTCCTCACTATTTCCACAACTGTTGAGCATTGGCTATGTGCGCAGGTCCTATGCTAGGTACAATAATAATAACTGAAAAGCTAATTTTAAATAGAAAAAGTCTATATATTAAAACAAAAAAACCCTGTCAATTAGCATTTTTAAAGTAGTATGTTGATTTTATTTATAAATGGCATAACTCCCAAGAAATGCATGTGCATTCTTCCAAATACAACTTTTAAAGACTTGGCTAACAAATAGAAATTACTCTGCCACTGGATATTTTAGATAGTAGTTATTATAAATTTACTCAAAATGTTAAAATACATGACCAAATTGGTAGATTTTTAAAAATTTGTGGGGAAAGAACCATAATTTTAATTTATGAACATCTAAAACATATTCCCAACATTTTCCCCCAGACACGAACACATCCTAATTTGTATTTTGATTTTATTTTTGCTTTCAATAAAAAAGAAAAAGACTAGACTGACAGATCAAGCAAAAGGCTTGTTTAGGGATTACCAATGATTTTCTAGGGCTGCAACAAAAACAAGGAGTTTTATTTACAAAAACAGAGGAGTTTTATTATTTAAACTGCTTCTTTTTCCTTACTTACCTCCGACTTTCTACCAGATTTCTCCAACAGCATGTTCTGCTTTCATTCCAAACTCAATTCCATAACTCAATGCAAAATCTTCACCAAACTACTTTCCCATTCCAAATTCCCAGTTGTTGGCAAGGGTTCCCCTTTTGTCTGCCCAACCTGTCTACCCTAAGCTGGTTTTAGGATTACATACAACTCATCCTTTTTTATCTGGTTCAGCTGCCACTCTGAATTCTTTCTTTGAAATGTTTCCCAGATTCACTTTTCTCTTTTTACTCTGGCAGGTACCACTCCAGCTGTTCCAGGCCTGCACCTGCATCTCATACCTCAATGACTCTAACTGGCTTCCCTTTCCCTGTTCTAATTCATCTTAAACATCAACGCCAGAGTAAAAGAAGTGGGACTTCCCAAGCGTCCCGCCTGTTCAGCAATCATGAGCCAGGATTCACCTATCATGTCATAACCCAGAGGTCGATGGATCAAAACCATCCTCTGAACAAATAAAACTTTTTAAAAATTAAAAAACATTTTAAAAAGCATGACATTTCTGGTCTCTGACCTTAGCTTTGTTCAGAGGACACCTGGCAGCAATAGACTTGCTTTTTCTTCATTAGCTGACTCTTTCATTACAACCTATTGTCCGAAGGCTAGATTGTACCTGCATCAAATTAGGATAGCCCAACTCCTGATCTCAGGCTCGTCCACTTCACTGCTGCCTATGCCCCAGGACCCATTTCTATGGTTCCCTAAAATCCTGCTTTGGTGATGGATATCTTAATGACTTTCTATTTCCTGCTATGGATAAGGAAGATATTGGATCTGGGATTTCACTGATAGAGTAATCCTTCTATTCCTACAGACTGGTGACTTCTCTACAATTTAGAGTCTGAGAGTTTCCTAAGGCCCTGAGAGATTAAATGACTTCTGAGCTTCATATGTATGTATGTAGTATGGATCAGAAGCAAGATGTGAATCCAGATCTTCCTGGCTCTAGGGCCAAGCTGCTTCTCTATTTATCAGGACTACATTCCATTACTAGAATATCAAAGTACATTCAGTAGATATGTAATAATTATGTTTATATGAATCCTGTATCTGTCTCTTTCCCATTGTGCCTAATGCTACCTCAAGCACAAACATAGGTCCTTAATAAATCCTTAGATGATTTTGGTGTTTCCCTCCAGGGATGCGGAACCTGTGACCTGGAGGTGCGGCCTTCTGACGGAGTCCAAGTTTTACAGAACAAATTATTTTATAAGGGGATTTGTTCCGTGAAGTTTGGATTTGTTTAAAGGGTGGCACTTGAGGCCTCAGAGGGTCACATGTGGCCTTGAGGCCGCAGGTTTCCCACCCCCTCTGGGCCTATACCATGTTTAATGGGGTTGAGAAATGGGGACTGAGTACAGATGTGATGTATTGTGGTTATAAGGTCAAGATGAAATTAAAAAAATATTACTCAAGAAATTACATTATTCAAGAATTCAAGAAATTATGATTTAATTCACAAAAAAACAACAACTAGATTTTGCTATTGCAATCAATATTACCTCTGGATTTTCACTTAAATATATCTGTTTGGAGATATTGTTTATTGTACAAATCCACTGAAAGAGAAAACAGAAAACAATTTAAGGCTTTATATCAAAACTTCTCAAGAACAAAATACATAATATTTAGTTAACATACAACATTTTCATCAGAAGTAACATTACTAGTTCATTCTTTCTAATGGGGAGGAAATTTTAACTGAATTCAGAGTCTATTAACTGGCTAATTTTTAAGCAGTTGCCAGGTCTTCTCGATTCTAATTTCATGACATTTCTCCTATCATGACTACATCTAGTCATACAGTCACCATGCTAGTTTGGGCTTTTATTTCCTCTTGTCTGTATATTGATTATTACTGTTATGTTTTGGTCTAGACTTATGATTTATTAGTGCAGTAAAATTTCCAGTGTGGAAATGTCCCCCACAAAATACAGATCAGCACAACTCATTTGTACCTCAGTCTTAGAGAGCTGCTTGGAGTTGAGTAGTTAAGTGACCTGCCCATGGTGACAAAGGTAGCATATGTGCCTCTGATGGACTTGAACCAATGTTTTCCTGACTATTCACCACACCATGTGGCTTATCATTTATTTTTTAGAAACTCGGGGAAAAAATAAGTTTACTATGTGTATACTATTATAATAGCCTTGGTATTCTTGATTCTGGTTGCTTGCCTCTCCAAACCATTCTCCATGCATCTGACAAAAAAAAAAGAATCTTCCTAGGGCACAAGTCTGATCATTTTTCCTTTCTTTCCTCTAGGTTAAAATATGATAAAAAATGATCTGCCTTCAAAGCCTTCCTTTCTGGTCTTTCCATCTGCGCTAGCCCACCCAGACTACTAGCCACTCTCCAAATGCCGCATCTCCTCTCCTGTCTCTGTGTACCAGCACAAAGTACACGCCATTCCCAGTGTACTGCCTTTCCGCATTGCTGCCTCTCACAATCCTTACCACTTTCTTCAAGGAAGCTTTCCTTGATCACTTCAATTGTGTAATGTTCTTTTCCTCCTCAAATTACTTTTGTGTTTATTTATCTGCTATTTATTACATCTCTCCCTCTACCCTCCCCACCCTTCCCCAGCCAATCCCCAGTAGAATGTAAAAATCTAAGTTTAAGGGCTGGAACTGTTTGAGCTGGTGGTACAATAGATAAGGACACTGGGCCCACAGCCTGGAAGATCTGAGTTCAAATCCAGCCTCAGACACTTACCAGCTCTGTGACCCTGGGCAAGTTACTTAACCTGTATTAGCCCGAGTTTCCTTATCTGTAAAAATAGTTGTAAGAATAGCACCCACTTCCCAGGGATACTGTGAGGATCAAATGAAATAATATTTGTATTTATACTGTAATATTTTATTTTGCTTTGCAAGTTTTAAAGTATTACATGAATGCTAGCTGTTATTATTTTTGTCTGTGTATTCACAATGCTTAGTAGGGCTGTGCACATAACAAGTGCTTACTAAATGTTTGTTGAACTAAATTAGGTGTTAAATAACCTTCTGAGCAGATCATAATATCCAAATTTTATTTCAAATAATGAACATGGAAACTTCCTAGCAATTATAACACAGAATCACAGAGTTAAATTAACAGCTGGAAAGGAGTCCAACCCCCTCAATGACACAGGTGAGGAAAGCAGGTAGAGTACTTCATCCAGGGTCATACATATCTAAGAAGCAGAGCCAGGATTCTAATCCACGGCCTGTGACCCCAGCCCTTTTACCCTTTCTGTGGTACCAGGCTGCTACCAATGTTAACACAACACAAACCATGCACTCTTCTTGTATCATTTTGCCCAGAAAGGCATTTGGGGTCGGATACCCTGTATGGGTTTAATGCAAATTTCAAGAGTAGTTCTTTGCTAATGATAACTATTCCACATAATAAACTTTTAAAAATTTCCAAAAGATCTCTTTATGAAATCTATGTTCTTTTTATTTCATTTCTCCTCATACTGCTATGTGCTATGATTAGTCTGGTGGCCCTTTACGCTCTTATGTGTCTGGCGTATCTCATACCTTGACCCTTTCCTGAACACCAGTTTTGTTTACTAAATCCAGCACAGGGTAGAGAACATACCTGACAGCTTCCCCAGAGAACAGAAAGCATTAACGATTTTGATAACTATCAAGTTATCTTTTCCTCAAGGGCAACATTCAAAGGAAAATCTGACTCCTTTCCAAAAGCTGTCTTGTAGGAATACTACGACAGGGTAAGCATGATAAGTTTTTCAACAAGTTATACTATAAAACTGATTAGAAATTTGTGCCTGTTTAGAGAAACTTTCCCCTAATGTTCCCTTCCCCCTCCACCCCAGCCAAACACACATACAACATGTCAGTTCAGTTATTTGTAGGTACCTTACCTTCCATACCTGGTGTACTATAAGCAAAAATGGAGCTAAAAATAAAAGACTTGTAAGGAAGAATACGGATTCCCAAATCTTTGTTTTTCTGTCTTTCATTCCCCTTCCCAATGGTTTTAGAGTTTCAGCTGCTACAGGTCATATCTGTGGCCACTATGTACTTAGTTGGCAGGTGGTGAGAGAACGGTATAAATTAGACTGACATTTCATGACACTGCCAGCCTGCCAACTCAGAAAGCAATGGTCATAAGGTCCAAAGGTACCTTCTTAAGCCTTCCAAACAGCAGTACGCTGACAAGAAACATAAGCATTCCTCTTGGAAAAAATGCATTTTGACAAAAGTTCTCTTTAAAGGTATTAACTAGATACAATTTACCTCTTCATAGTCTTTTTTACTTTCTGCTTGCAAAATTGAAGACCTGAAAGGAGGAAAAGAAATTTGAGTTTCAGTTTTTTTAAAGTACCTTTCAATAAGATCTGAAAGTATTTATTCTTCCTTAAATGTAAGTCAAAACCAATCAATTTGTACTTCTTTACATGGAATTAGACTTTAGTAAGCTTAACTTTTGTTATGTGTGCCAAATTCTATGAAATCAGAAACAGATATTGTTCCATCAGAACATCAACTTTATATAATGAATTGAAATTTCTACCAGGACAATGAGAGTCAGCTTGGTAGGGGTGGAGAGGAGAGAGCAGGCCTCACTGTCAGGAAACCTTGGGTTCAAATTTTACCTTTTACCTAGACTAGCTTGTGCCCCTGGGCAGATATTGTAAGATGAATGCACCAGGAAACCTTCTAAAACTCAAGGCTACATAACAACTGTTGATCTGCTTGATAAAGGGAGGCTTCCTATCAAGGCATTATACCAATAAGACCACACTCAATGACTAGAACAAAAAAATAAAAACCCAGAAATAAATCAAAGACAAAATCTCAGACAATTCATTTCAGTTTTCTGATCCTTAATGATGTTTATCAAATTAATCAATGACTAATTTAGAAAACCTACTTTAAATTATCTTTTGGATTACTCATGCTTTAATAAGCCTTAAAAGCAACCTATTAATCATAAATAAGGAGACTTTGTCTTTAAGAGGGTTATCAAAAAAATATTTGGGAGACTAAATTCTCTGCTGAGAGAAAAAGTGAAAAACAATTTTACTAAGTTTCCATTATACTACTAATGGTGAAATAGTAAATTTATAACAAGTAGCCAAACAAGCTAAAACTGAAGACACAAAATGTCAAAAACTGTTGTATCCACTGTCAGTTTAATCCTTTTGATGCAGGGAGAACAAAAGGACCATCTAATATTGACTACAGAGAAAGGAGACAACAAGCTAAAGAATTTTTAAAATTATAAAATGAGAGGAAAAATAATTCTCTCAAACTTTAAAGATTTCCTAAGACTCACAGGAAAATTAAGCAGAAAAAAGGTACCGGATTCGAAATACCTCACATTAGGAAAAGTTTGGCTGAGAATCAAAGCAGTGTCCAAACAGAAAAAAAAAAAAAAGGAGAATTTAAGGCATATGTAAAACAAAACAGTGAAGATGTTCATGTAATATTGAGAAAATTAACTTATCTATACTGGATCTCATTTAAGAGTAGAAGGAGTCATCAAAATGACTTAAAACTATAAATATGAAAAAACTGAATCTAATCAGTTATATCTGAATAAAAAAATCAATACACAAAGTAGTTAAATTTTAACAGACTCAGAACTAAATGAATACACAACCATTTAGTATATTAACTACTCTAAAAGGCTAAGAAAGCAAAATTCCAGAAAAAAAAAATCCCTAACTCAATCCACTATTTGCATTTATTAAAGGAATCTTACATTGAATGTATTTTATAAGAAATATAATTTCAGATACTTTGGAATTTTAAAAAATCACCAGCCTTTTCATAACTTGTTCTGATATTAAAATATATAAACAGAAAAAGCACTTACTTTTTGCCATCAAAGGAAGTGATCTGGAAACAATACCGTCTATCTTCACAGTCAACAGCCATTACAGAGCAGTTGTCTATGTCCATGGCAAGGCCTCCCGCCACATCTCCCCGGGCCTGATTCATCAGGTTTCCACCTTGAGTAAAGTAAAATTGTCTGTCCCAGGTAGAGGACACGAGGCCAGTCTTACTAATCAAAGAAAGCATATTCTCATTTAGTAGTGACATGTATAAACTTTTCACAACTTTCAAGAAATTAACAGAAAAGTAACATACAACTCAAACCAAGAATAATTCTAAAACTTGCCAAATAGACACTATATGGCAAAATGTTGTTCTTTAAACTGAAGAGTCTCTACACATTCTAATTTAAATCAATGTTATAGAAACTGATAAATAAAACTGATTATAAATGAGTTAAGTGGCTGCTTTCAATCCTTGCTCTGTGTTCTGTTATAATCTCTGTTTATCTCATGCTATTTGTTAGAGCCAGTTGCCAAGAAAAGATCCACTGATCCACTGATTTTCTCAGTCAGAAAGAGATTAGGAATATCCACATATATAATGCTTCTAAAGCAATGTTTGGAAATCTAACAGCAGGTGACATAAGGTTATTTCAATATGCAAAATAATACTAACATAAAACAGAATTAAGTTTTATGTGCACAAAGGCAAAATGTGGGCCCTGCTGCTTCAAAAGAATCCTTACTTTACATTTCTTGGTACAGAGATTTTACTGGGTCCAAACTGAGTTTTCACAATAACACATCCATTATAACCAAGAGAAAACTGTCCCTTTGGATCCTGAAAGGCTTTTATATCACTAAAATATAAATTATTTAGCCACCAAAGTAGTTCTATATTTTGTCCAGACCTGTGATTTTATCATTGTAGGGAAATCCCTGTGATGAGGAAGCTTTTTTAACTAATGAAAACCAACAACTGTTTAACTTAAGCCTTAAAGAGAAGTTCAAGCTCTCAGAGATTAAGGGACAGCGTCACATGGCCAGGACAGGTCAGAAGCAGGGCTTGACCCCAGTTGCTTTCTAATTCTGTGGCCAGTTTTCTCTCCATTCCGCCATTCTGTTCTTGGTGTAATTTGGGGGGCCAAAAACAAAACACTATCAAGTTTTAGACCAATTTTATTTTTCAATGGAGACTGATTTTAAGCAAACTACATTCCTTAATAATGCTAAATGACTCAATGAATACCAAAGTGGAACGTGATTTTGTAGCTCCAGTGCTTAGCAGTGTCTGGCCCACAGCAAGCACTTCATAAATGTATGCTGGCTGAGACTGATTGGTGATTTCTTCTTTATTTTGTAAGCGAAAAATTACTCTCAGAATATAGTTCAAGCTTCATGTGAAATTCACATTTGACAGACTTCATGGCATGTTTTAAAGGGAGCTAGGTAACACAGTACAAAGAGTGAGAGACAGACACGGAGTCACAAACACTCAAGGCCAAATCCTGTTTCAGACACTTCCTAGCTGCGTGACCCTGGGCAAGGCACTCCTGTTTACCTTCATTTCCTTATTTGTAAAAATGGAGAAAATAACAGCAACTACCTCCCAGGTTTGTTTTGAGGACAAAATGAGCTATTATTTATAAAGCACATTGAAATCTTAAATTGCTATATAAAATGCTACCATTATTAGTATATTAATACTCATTAGATCAATTTTATTTTTTCAGTTACAGTAGCTCATGAAGACAATAACCTACAGCATCAATGTAAGAAGAAAGCACAACAATGAAATCACAGGTCCTTAAAGTAATCATACATTTATTTTCATTCCATTCCGCAATACACACATACACACATATAGATATATACACATATACATACATACATATACACACACACATAGATGAAATACCAAAATAATAGTATAGTATATACACATACAATCCTCATTTATAATATACTCTTTTATACTGGACATAAAACTGTTTGAGGTCAAAAGAGTGTTATCTTACTTCCTAGCATTGAGATATCCAGCCTTGCGGGTTAAGTTCCGATGAACAGGAAATTTGGTGATGTCGGGGTCAGGCAAATATAATGGGTCACTGGCTACTTCCAAATCCTCTATTGTCTGTTGCATGGTTTCTACTTCACAATCCATTTCCCTGCGAACACTAACACAGCAAGTTGATAAGTCCAGTGTCAATCGATACAATCTTCACTAAATACATTTATATTTTTACCAAATAACTTTCTTGTAAGGGTAGCTAGGGTGACATAGTGGATAGAGTGCTGGACCTGGAGTCTGGAAGACTCATCTTCCTGAGTTCAAATATAGCCTCAGATACTAGCTGTGTGACCCTCGGCAAATCATTTAACCCGGTTTGCCTCAGTTTCCTCATTTGTAAAATGATCTGGAGAAGGAAATGACAAAAACTTCAGTATCTTTGCCAAGAAATCCCCAAATGGGGTCATGAAGAGTTGGATACAACTGAAACAATGACTTTCTTGAAAATTTAATACACATATAGCTTCAAATTCTGTGCCAAATGTTGGCCTTCTCTAGTGCAGACTGAGAGGGATCTATTATTTATAAACTTAGAACTCCAAAAGTTCTTAGCTTAGAACTCAAGTGTAATAATTTTTTTTTAAAGAAAGTTTAATATAGTAAATTGTTGATTATCTTTACTAATGGAAGGAAACAGCTTAGAGCATTTAAAAAAAAGTCAAGCAACTAATTAAAAAATACTTCAGATTTTATTCTGGAATGCATTTTTTTTTCTGTTTGTTTAAATATGTAGAGATTTGCTGTTCTTAGAACCAAACTGAGTATTGGACATGATGGGGATAAGCGCAGCTGTAAAACAGCTCTGCTTTCCCACGCTATTGAAGGTTGTCACTGGATAATATCATCGTTCAGACTGTGCCAGAATGATTTAGAATTCTTCTCTTCAAGTTCCACACCATGATGAATAGGCTTTCCTGCTGGCTAACCTAGGCTCCCAAACTGGGTCTGTATGGATGGTCAGTCGATAAAGGAAGAGCAAGGTAAAACAGCAGTTCATTCCCTGAATAGACTCCTGAGTACTTACTACATGGAAAACATGAGGTCCTGTAGAGAGTACAGAGATGATTAAGACACAGAGTTTTCCCTAAGGGAGCTTATAGTCTACTAGGAAAGTCATGTGATCACAAATAATGAAATATAATGATAATTTGGGGTAAGTGTCATTGAGACTGGAATGCACAGCAGGAATTTAGAAGGTAGAGATTAACTTCTAGCTAAAGGCATGAGGAAAGGCATACACTATGAGGTTAAAAAAAATCTATCAGGTAAAAGGAATGGAGTGGACAAAGGGACAGAAGCAGGATGGTGTGGGGTGATGAGTTCTGAGTGAAGGTGACATGCCTTATGGATCTAGGCCTGGTGATCAGCATCACAGTATACACTGCATGCTTATCAGCTTTACAGCTGACATAAAGCTAGGAGGAGAAACAGTCAGGATCCTAAAAGATCTTTACAAGCTAGGCTAAGAATATGAAATTTTACAAATAGAAATGTATAGCCTTACACTTGGGTTTAAAAAACAGTCAACTTCCCAAAAACAAGATTGGGAAAGCGGTTGCTAGGCAGCAGTTTGTCCGAAAACCAAAACCGAAACAACCAAACCAAACCAAAACCAAAATTCTAGGGGCTTTATCCAATAGTCTAAACCTATAAAAAGACAAAATAAGTCATAAAAAACTGAAGGGAAGAGAGAAGACGGAGGAGAGGATAAAAAGAAAATGCAATGTTGGTGGATCTGTGAGCTAACAGGTGGACTGGTCAAAACTTTTGGATAGCAATATGGTGATGTACAACAAGACTCACAAAACTTAATACTTTAGATAAAGTGATTCTTTTGCTATCATTTAATTCAAAATATATTAAGAAAAGGGAAAAAAGGCCCATTTGTACAAAAGCATCTATAATTGATTGACAATGGCAAAAATTTAGAAACAAACTTCACATAAAATTGGGGAATGGATGGTTGAATGAATTGTGTAGTGCATTTTAATGTAATTGAATATTATGGTATCATAAACAAAAAATCTGTAGCATAAGAGGAAATATGAAAAGCATTATATGAGGTAATGCAAATTAAGATGACCAAAAGAACATGCAGATTCTTAACTATAGCTACATGAAAATTAAAATCAAGTCAAAGCTAACAGAACTTCAGAGAGAACTGGGAAAAGGCAAACTTGTTTGTTTCCCCACTTATGTGGCTCTTTGTTCAACTGCACAGTAGTTTTTGGGAGTCCTCAGCAATATTTTCCTCTTGTTTATTTTCTTTGGCAGGGTGGTGGTGCAAGGGAATGAGGGCTGGTCTGAGAGTGAGGAGAGAGAGCCCTGCAAGTGACTCCTGCCTCTGTTACTGACAAGCTGTGTGACCAAATCAAGTCCCAACCTCTTTGATCCGGTTTTCTTATATTAAAACTGTGATATTACCTGTGATGCCTCCTACAAAGGGTTGTTGTGAGACAAGATGCTATTTACAGGCCATACAAAAAAAAAAAAAACCACATGACAAAAATAAGATGTTTTTATTGAGATTAAATAAATGGTAAATATAGCAGGAACACACTTACTTCTGTACACTTGTTCCAATATTTGCTAAAAATTCTTCTAGCTGTTCATTGAGATTTTCAGAACCCATCTTGAAGAAACTTATCTAGGAGGAAAAAAGCCAAAATTTTATTTAAATATAACCTCTACAACACCACTATATATTTATCAGAAAAAGATCAATATATATTTAATTTTCTGAAAATTAACTTTTATGGTTAAAACATGTTTCAATTTCCATTAAACTCTGATAATCTAGGGCCTTAATTCTTATTTCTCCTTCCTACTGCATGCCTTTTGGCTATTGCTGTGCTTCTACTTTTATTAGGAAGTGGTCAAAGTAAAGGAAAAATAAAACTCAAACTTATCCTGCTATTCTTTAATATCAATAATACATAACTTATATAATACGTAACAGTAACATAACTGAGTATCCAGAGAGTTAAAAGTGATGACTTTGGGGATCTGTGGCTTTCAGTAAACTACCTCAAGTTGTGACAGGCAGTGTAGTACGGTGGATAGCGAGCTGTCTTCAGGAAGACTCAAGTGCAAGTCATACACAGGCTCTGACACATAATGGCTTTCTGACCACGGACAAATCATTTAATCTCTCAGGCCACAGGCAAGACTATAGCTGTATCTAAGACCAAGACTATAGCTGTTGATCTGCATTGGTAGAGTTAGCTACATTGCTATACCAATGAAATCACAATAAAAATTTCTCAATTACCACACGTAAGAAAGACTTTAAGAAAAAAAAGGAGAAAAAGAGCCACTTCATCACTAAGGTACTCTTAAGACATTCAATGAACTCTTCAGATAAGTACAGATACTAACCTCTGAGATGTAGGGCTCACCTAAGGGCTATTCTGGCCAAAATAATCCACTGACTGTAGCCAACCTTCTCTGGACTTGGTGGGGTCTTCGGCAACAGACAGTCACTGAATTTATGGCCTGGGAGGGACTCACAGGAACTCGAGTACCCATGGGCAAAGCCTTCCAGAAATCATGGTGAGTTCCATGGCATGATGTGATAGAGAAGCTAAGTAGTTTTAAAAGTTATAAAACTTTCTTCTCCTATACTATGTGTATGTGTGTATACACACACACACACACACGTAGATCTATAATACAATTACAATATATTCAAATTTAAAACTTGATGGAGAAATTCACTATAGAATTAACCTCTAATATTTACCTGAGCTTGCATGTATCCAAGCAGGGGCTCTAGCATTGCTATTTTCTTCTTATACTGAAGAGTATTCAACGCACAGAAATAATGCATCATCGTCTGGTGCTGCTTTTTTCTAGAAGTATATACATCTTCAGTAACTTCATACTTCACCTTATAATTAAGAAAAGTACAATGATGCACTCCATTTTATGTACTTCTTGGTAACGTCTATGATGCAAGCACTAAAGAAAATGTTTCAGAATTGTGCACACATTTGATTTGACAAGCACCTACTAGGTGAAAGGCTGGAGAAGGAAATGGCAACCCACTCCAGTATCTTTGTCAAGAAAACCCCAAATGGAGACACCGAGAGTAAAACACGCCTAAAACAGACTGAACAAAAATGGGGAAGGTACTGTGCCAGGTGCCAGGGATACAAACACAAAAAATAAAAGTCCTTGCCTTCAATGAGTTTACCGGGAGGAGTTGAGGGTTGTGGTGTAACATTTACATAAGTGAATTATTTGAGGAGGGGGAAGAGCACTAACAAGAAGTAACTGAATTATCAGCCTGAGTTTTGGGAACATATCGAACCATTTATTGAAACTATACCGTCAATGATTTAATTTTCAGAAATGAAAATCAGAGAAGGAAGATTTTAATTTATATTAGTTTCACAAGCAAGATCCGCTTTAGTAGAAGAACAGAAGGAAGAGAAACTCAGGCCATAAGGTAAATGCAAAACTGCAGGCAGGACTGGCCTTCTTGAACTGCTAGTGTACTTGTTCCCCTACATGACGCAGAGGAGAACAGCTGAAGGGCTTTTCCACTCACAAATATTTCTCCCACCTTGTATTCCTTGTCAATAAACAAAAATTAAGCACTTTCCATTTAAATTTTTTCCTAGGGTTTAAAATGGATAAGACTTCATGGCAACCTTGGGTAGCTAACCACCTTTCTGGACTTCGGTTCCTTTATCTAAGGGCCCTGGACTACATGAATCTTTCCAGCCAAACATAGATTTAACTCAATAGCTTTTCTGTGCTGTCTTTCTCATTACTTAGGTCAAAATAAAATTACACTGATGGACCTGAAGCCAAGGCCTGACTCTTTGTGACATCAGAGAGGAAGAATGATTTAAACACATCTAGATTATCCACAGAAAATGGCCAATCTAAGATTCCCATAAGACAAAACTAAAGCCTTTGTTATCAACACGTTTAAAAGAAAAACCCCAAACCAGAAGTTCAAATATTGTTGTTCTCAATCTATATATTTTGTAATTATTTGCTTTTAAGCCTTATCGGAAATAAGAACATTTGAAATGGGATGATCAGGTCTTCGAGCAGACAACAAGGAAATATTCTTGACCATTAAGAAATGAATTTGTAGAATGGAGATAAGGGGGGAAGGAAACTCCTAGGTATTAAAGAGGTACTACGAGCACTGAAAACGGTTACTGTGAATCCTTGAGAGCCCAGCAGGGGACACTGCCTGCAGGTGTGCTGGCTCTTTGTTTCATTTCGTTTGCTCTGTGATGTCACAATGCCAGTAATTGCAAAAACGATGCTGTTCCAGCACTTTCAGGTTTGTCAAGCTTTTTAAAATGCATGATCTTCTTTGATTCTCATTTTACAGATAGGGGTTCAGAGAGGCTCACTGATTCGCTCAGGGATGTACAGCTAGTAAGCTTTTGAGGCAAGACTTAAATCCTGATCTTTCCAGAATCCAAGTCCAGCGCTCTTTCCATTATGCCATAACAGATCTTTCTCAGCTCTCTCATTATAAAGCTATAGGGGCAAAATAAAGTCAGTGTTACTTTTTATGTTAAATTTCAAAAATAATTCCAATGGAAAATAAAACCTGTCACCTTCACTTTGAGCCCTTTTGTGCTGTGTCAGAACACTTGGAATAATAATAATAAAAAGCCTTAAAAACAGTAACACAGAAACACCTTGGCTTTATCATTTTGTAATTGTGCTCTGTGACTGCAGGTAAGTGCCTTCCCTTCTCTGTGTGTCAGTCTTCTCCTCTGTAAATGGGCCAGTATCTTGAGGTCTGCCATCACTGATGGTGTGCTTTCCAGCCAAGAACCACAGCTGACAATCACAGAGCCAAGTGATGACAGCAGTGCCTCAGCAGAGGTAGATACAATATGTTTTATTAGCCCATTTTTGCAAATGAAAAAACAAAAGCTCAGAGTCTTGTCCATGGGCACATAACTGGTGTCAAGGTCAAGATTTGAACCCAGAACTTCTCAAGTCCATCTCTTCCACACCCTAAGTTGCCTCACAACTTGCTCAACAAAGCTGGAGAGAGCCCATGGGATGTGGAACGAATGAAGTTAATTCCTTGTAGTTTGGTCCTTAATTAAGACCTTTTCTTCCTCCACAGGGATCAGCGATACTCCTGGACATTTTTCGAGGATGCATGAGATAAAGCACTGGATCTGGAATCAAAAGACTGAGGACTGAGTGAGTTCTAGCTTCGCTGCTTGCCAGCTGTGTGACCATGATCACGTCATTTTAAATGAATGGTGCAGTGGATGGAGTGATGGACTTCAAATCAGAAAGACCTAGGTTCAAATCCTGCCTCAGTCCTTTACTAGTGGTGTGACTTTGAGAAAGTCACTTAATCTCTCTCAGCCTCAATTTTCCCATTTATAAAATAGCGATAATCACAGCAATCATCTCCCAGGTAATCTCAGATCAAATGAGTTAACATGTCAAGCGCTTTGCAAACTGTCAAGTGATATATAAATTGCTATTATTATTTTAACTAGGTATTATATATTTATTAAATAATCATAATTATTATAATAAAATGGTGCTAATAATACTTGTATTAGCCTCACAGGGCTTCAAAGGAAGGTAGTCTGCAGGCTCTGAGGTACTTATTTTTTGAGCTACAAATGTCTATTTATGTAATGAAGGAATGAAAAGTATTTATCAAGCGCTTACTATGAAGCCACATCCTGTGCTAAGTGCCAAGAATACAAACATAAAGAGAAGAGCACCCTCCACTCATGGAGCTCTCAGTCTAACTGGAGAAGACAACACATGCAGGAGCACAGACGGAAAGGCTGGGAAGGTCCTACGGGAGCGGGACACATCTCCTCTATCACAGTGTAGTTTCAGCTAAATACTCAACAGCTCAATTTCATTACTCTAGTATTTTAAAAGACTTTTTTTTGGCAACACTCCAGTATATATTTGCTTGTTCATATGACTGTGGATGCCTGAAATTTTATTTAAGTTACAGACTGTGTTAAAAAAAAAAACAACAACTATGTCCTGAGTTAAAGTTTTAGAAAAAGTTATGGTTTAAAATATTCCCAATTTTTTGGGTTTTGTGTGTGTGTGTGTGTGTGTGTGTGTGTGTGTGTGTGTGTGTGTGT